AGTATAGACTTTAGTTGGTAATAATGTGGGCTCATTAATTCTAATGTGCCATATGGTAACTAGAAGGTAGCCACTTACCAGTTCAATTATTTAAATACAGGATAACTAAAAATTGCACTTTTTAGTTAAGTTTTATAAGATAACAAGAAATATTAAAATGACAATCTTATCAGATTTATTCAATGATTTTTCTGTGTATGGTATATCTTTTTTTTCCTTTTTATCGGTACCGGGGATCGAACTCACGACTGCCTGCTTGCAAGGCAGGCGCTTATGCCGCTGAGCTAAGCCCCTGGCTTATCCCCAGCCCTGTGTGTGGTATATCTTAAAAATTCAATACACAGTGCAGACCTACACTCTGTACTGTAGTATCTAGTCTTTTTCCAAATTCTTTTCACATTATTCTCTTTCTTTGAACAGCATAATTCACTCTGTCATGTTGGCCTTTGCTTTTTTCCTGTGGGTATTTCCTGTATAATTTCAATAAAATGAAATTATATTCCTATATAATTCCTGTATAATTTCAATAAAATGCCTACCCACTAAAGGTAGTTACTGATGACATCAGTGATAGATATTCTGCTTGTCATTTCACTACTCCGTGTTTTTTAATTACTTGCTCTATTAGACATAATCTAAACTATAAATGAATTTTTGGGGAGTGGGTATAGAGAACCAAACTCACAACTGCATGCTTGCTGGGCAGCCCCTGAGCCTCTGAGTTAAATTTCCTGCTCTGTGGTCTTGGTTACTTTGCTCTTGTTGCTGAGACAAAACATCTGACACCCAAAATTAGGGAAGGAAAGGTTTATTTAGCTCACTTATTTCAGTCCATAATCAGCTGGCTCCAAGGCAGGGTGGCATGGCACAGGGACAACACTTCAAGACAACTGACAAAGTAAAAAAGAGAAAACAAGCCTCCGGGCTGGGGGTTTAGCTCAGCGGCATAAGCACCTGCCTTGCAAGCAGGCCGTCGTGAGTTCGATCCCTGGTACCGATAAAAATGAAAAAGACCAAAAAAAAGAAAAGAAAACAAGCCTCTTCTTCAGGTTTATACGGTACACAGGCCACACCCTCTCCAGGACAGGTGTAGCACTCACAAAATCGCCTTGCCCTCCTTTGAACAGGATGAGGATATTTACAAAGTAAGAACCCTGACTCCCTGCTGAGTCTCTCAGTTAAACTTCCAAACTTCTCAAGTTGATACAATGTATCAACCATAACAGGTGTTTTGTTTTGTTTTGTGGTAAGAGTCTTGCTATGCAGTTCAAACTGGCCTTGAACTCATTATGTCACCAAGGCTGGCCTCAAACTCATAGCAATCCTCCTGTCTCAGCCTCCCAAGTCCTGGGATTACCAGGCATGTGTCACCAGCCCTAGCATGTAAAAGGCTTTTTCTCTTTCTTTCTTTTTTTTTTTTTTGGTACTAGGGATTGAACTCAGGACCGTGCGCTTGTAAGGCAGGCACTTATGCCGCTGAGCTAAATCCCCAGCCCTGTAAATGGCTTTTTAAACCTCCTTGTTTTGAATAAATAATAAATGAGTTACACATTGGTTGAGAAGGTTCATGCATATTTCATAACAGTATTTTTTATTGTTTTTTGATTATAAGATAGCTTGTTAGATGTTGGCCAACTCTGTCAACACCATCTGTAGAATTATAATCATTGACCACTACTGGAATTTTTTGCTTCAAGTTCCATCATTTCTTTTCTTTTTTTTTTTTTTTTTTTTTTGTCTTCTTCCTTTTTATCAGTACGGGGATCAAACTCACGACCGCCTGCTTGCAAGGCAGGCGTTTATGCCGCTGAGCTAAATCCCCAGCCCCCTTGTTCCATCATTTCTGTATTATGAATAGTTGACAATAAGGAGACTTCTTTCTGTCTTTCCATTCTGTAACTCACATTTTCCCTCTCTAATATACTTACATTTCTCCCTTTTGCAGTTTTTTCTTTTGCGGATCTTTTGGCACTTCCTATTCAGTCTCAGTGCCTCCAACTTGTCTGTTTTGCACTGTAAAAGAATATCACTGAGTTCTGGAAAATTATAAACATTATATGTAATGTACTTATAGTAAGAGTTTTTTATAGATTTCAACACAAAATTATAGGGTTATTTTGTTCAAATAAACACAAATCAAGCCAGGCATGGTGGCTCACATCTGAACCCCAGCACTAGGGAGACTGAGGCAGGAGGGAGGATTGTTGTGAGTTTGAGACCTGCCTGGGCTTCAAAATAAGCTCAAGATGAGCCCAAACTGCATAGGAAAACCCTGTCTCAAAAATCCACAAAAAAAGGGGCTGGGGATTTAGCTCAGCGGCATAAGCACCTGCCTTGCAAGCAGGCAGTCTTGAGTTCGATTCCTGGTACTGATAAAAAGAAAAAGACAAAAAAAAATCCACAAAAAAGAAAAAACACAAATCAATAAAAGAAAATAACCTGTGCTTATTATTAGATTTCACTAAAAATAAACATAAAGGCAAATACAATGTTCTAAATTAAAAAGTATGAAAAAATAGTCAATATAAAATAAACAAAAATAAATAAATAGACATACATATGTATTTTGTGCAAACAAGAATTGACTGGTTGAAACTGTACCTGCCCAAGTAACACTGAGATGAAAGCATTGCCTGAGTGGTGCTCATGGTAAACTGTTAAGTCGTTAACAGGGAAATTGAGGGAAGTGAAACTCTTGTTTCTTTGAGACAGGATTTAGCTATGTAGCCTTAAACTTTGCATCAATCCTCCTGACTCAGCCTCCCCAGTACTGAGATTATAGGCATGAGCCACCATCCCCAGCTCTCTTACCTCTCATGTAAATGCGTGGTGATGGGAATTGAACTCACACAGTGCTCGCATACACTCCAATCCCTTTTTATTTTTTGAAAACAGAGTCTCACTAAGTTATTCAGATTGAATTTACACTTGTGGTCCTCCTGCTTCAGCCTCTGTAGTAAGGGGGATTACAGGTAGCCACCATCACACCCAGAGCTCCTTTGCAACTTTTATGTAAAATCTAAAACCATTTTAAAATAAATTTTATTTTCAAAAAAATCCTACCCATACCTAGTAAAGTTTTAGTCTATAGGAATTGTTATTATTCACTTTTTACACTTTTGGAAAAAACAAAACAAAACAAAACAAAACAAAACAAAACAGCATATTATGTCCAGTTGTCTGACCTGTAGTGATGTTAAGATGTGTTAGTAGGGGCTGGGGATTTAGCTCAATGGCATAAGTACTTGCCTTGCAAGCAGGCAGTTGTGAGTTTGATCCCCGGTACCGATAAAAGAAAGAAAAAGACTATCAGATGTGTTAGTACGTTCCTCTGTTGGCAATCTGATCCATCCACATAAAGTTCTCATCAATTTTTCACCCAACAGTTTTAACAATCATTGATAATTGTTTATGGTCATTATTTCATTGCAAGTAAAGAACTGCCATGGCCATTCATTTGTGTTTTTGGCCTAACTTGGTTTCCTTACCACTCCTAACTTCGGACCATGATCAGTACTGTTTGGAATCTCAAAACTAGCTAAATACTAATAGTTTAATTTTACTATAATGGATGAGGCTGAGATAACTTGATAAGAATTCATTTTATGTCATTTATTTATTTATTTTAGGCACCAGAGATTTAACTCATGACCTTGCACTTGCCAGGCAGGCACTTCTGCCACTGAGATATATCCTTAGCCTTGTCTTTTTTTTTTTTTTTTTTTTTTAATCTTTTTTCGTTTTTATCGGTACCAGAGATTGAACTCAGGACTGCTTGCTTGCAAGACAGGCGCTTATGTCGCTGAGCTAAATCCCCAGCCCCAGCCTTGTCTTTTTGAGACAGGGTCTCATTATGCAGTTCAGGCTGGCCTTGGGCTCACTTTGTATCCCACAGTGGCCTCGAACTCACAGTGATCCTCCTGTCTCAGTTTCCCAAGTGTTGAGATTACAGGCATGCACTACTAAGTATGGTGAGGTTCTCATTAAGTAGTCCAGGTTGTTTTCAAACTTGTGATCCTCCTGTTTCAGCCTCCTGAGTGCTGGGATTATAACTAGGTGCCATCTCGTTCTTCCAAAAGTGCAAATTCTTGGTCCTATTTGATACTTACTAAATCAGAAATTTGGGGTGAAGCCTAGCAACGTGTTTTAACAAGATTTCTGATGCTTGCATAGTTTGAACACCAGTAACTAACACTGGTTACCCCTAAAATGGCCTTAATCAGTTACTACATGCTGAGCTCCTATTGTGTACATGGCAGTACGCTGTGTGCTGAGCATTAGGGCAGCAAGGAACAAGGTCCTGGGCCCACAAGGAACTGTTTAGGGAACAAGACATAGGCTGGCGAAAGGAAAAAGTAATGTGACCCCTGTAGCATGTCACACAGAAGTAAGACCAAGGCGAACCCCAAGTTCAGGGAGCAGACCCAGTTGGTAAAGGTTTCATAGGTGTCTCCACCTCATCCTTAAAGGAGATAAGGACTTCTTAGTTGTGGGAAGGAAAACAGAGAGGACTTCTAAGAAAGGAGACTGGCATGAGCAAAGGCAGGCTGATTGGGAAGAGCCCAACTCGCTGACATGGCTGCTTTCTTCTCTCTTCTCACCGTCCGCTGTTTCCCCAATGCTCTCTTGGCAGCGTTGCTTTCCTGGGGCTTTTTCATGGTTATTTTGTTGCTTGTGCACAAACACACTGTGGAAGCCACCTTGTTGTGGGCACTAATGGTGGGGTACAGGTACAGTTTTTTTGTGTGGGTAGCAAGAATCGAACTCAGGACCTCTCACTTGCGAGGTAGGCGCTGCGCCATTTAGCTATATCCCTGGTGAGTGCAGGTGGACGTAGAAAAAGAATCTTTGCTTCTGCCGCAGATGCTGTGCTACAGGAGTTCTCCGCGAGTCATCAGAGTGCTCACAGGATGCTGTATCGCAAATAGCGCGGCTTCTAGCTCCTGAGCTCTACACGCTGCGCTTAACCCGGGGCTTCGAACCTACTAAGGGAGCGGTGGGCGGGACTGCCCGGCGGAACCGGAAATCTGTCAGAGGCGGAAGTGCGGCCTTACGGGCCAAGATGGCGGCGCCCAGGTGAGCATCTGGTGAGTAGGTTCCTGGGCTTGGGGAAGGAACTTCAGGTGACTTGGGGAGGAGACTCAGGGACAAGGGTGTTTGGCTCATTTGTTGTAACTTTCCTGGGGGCGTTTAGTGTTACAGAGTAGCTGTGGTGTCTTCCAGCGCTTAGATCTCGGCCTTAACCCTTCATCTGCGGGCAACAAAGGCTGAGATTTGGTGATTTCCGGTGGCTGGCGCGGTGGTCCAGGACTCTTAACCAGAGCCCTGGGAGCTGTCATGGGAGCGGACTTGGGGCGGCTGATTCTGGCACTAGAGGATCGGTTATAAAGAGGCAGTCTGAGAAAATAGTGGTTCATTGTTAGCCATACGTTGCTTAAGAGTTATTTACTAGGAACCATCCTGATTGAACTGCAAGGTATTATCTGTCACTGCCAACACGGATTGTTTCTGGGCACATTTACCCTATCGCCTTATCTAGTACTAAAATCATTGCTATCCTTTACTGAGGCCTGTTTATGTGTATAACAGCCACTGTGGTAGGTGCTGTGCATGAAAGTCTATAGGAATTGTTATTATTCACTTTTTACACTTTTGGAAACTGGGCTTGGGATAACTTACAGTTTGCCCACTTTGTGCAGCTGGTAAGTAGTGGAGCTGGTATTTAATTTCTGGTCTCTTGATTCAAAAACTGATGTCCACAACCACCCAGACTCCGTGCAATTTGCATTATGGCCCACCTCAGTATTTAGCCTCTCTCTCTCTCTGTTTGTTTGTGTGTGTGTGTGTGTGTGTGTGTGTGTGTGTGTGTGTATGTGTATGTGTGTGTGTTTGGTGTTTGAGACAGGATTTCATTATGCCGTTTAGGCTGTCCTTGAACTCACTTGCAAGCTCAGGCTCACTTGCAATGATTTCTACCTCAGCCTCCCTAGTGCTGGGATTACAAAGGTGTGCACCATACCCAGGTTAACCTTATTTTTCATCTTTAGGAGTTTTTCTCACCTCTGAAATCCTGCAGCACTAATTTTCTGTATGTTTCTTTGGTTACTAGTACTGTATTTTTAATGTGTATGTGTAGTTGCCATATCCTTTAACCCCAAATTTGGGTGCATCATTTGAACAAAGGATTTCTACAATATGGGAAATGTCATTTAAAGGACATATTTTTTGGGTTTTCTTGGCTTTTGGGGCTTTTGGCTTTTGGGGAGGGGAAGAAAATGAAGTAGGGAAGTATTAAAAGAGCCAGTATTTTGGCTTGATCTGTCTCCCCATATGTTAACCCCAGAGGCTGGATTTTTACCTTCATTGCTTTGTATCTATTTTACACTACTCTGTCCAGAGTAAACTTTCATAAAAGTATCTTTGGTATTGTTCTTTAAACCCACACCCTCATGTGGTGGTGATTTTGACCTTTTTTTTTTTTTTTTTTTTTTTTTTTTTTGGTACTGGGAATCAAACTCACAACCTGGTGCTTGCCAGGAAGGTGTTTATGCTGCTGAGCTACATACCGAGCCAAATGTCTGGAGTGTTTGTTTGTTTGTTTTTTTGTACCAGGGACTGAACTCATGACCTCATGCTTGCCAAGCAGGCACTTTCTCCACTGAGCTAAATCCCCAGCCCAACATTTCTACTCCTGTTAGTTCATATGTTTCTAGTACTGGCCCAATCATTAGATTTGATCCTGGGAGGCTGTGCATGGTGGCACACATCTATAATTCCAGTACTTGGAAGGCTGAGGCAAGAGGATTGCTGTGAATTCAAGGCCAGCCTGAAATAGAGTGAGACCCTGTTTCAAAAAAAAAAAAAAAAAAAAAAAAAAAAGGAAAAGGAAGCAGAAGAATTGATCTTGCTTAGAATTGGATGAAAAAAATAAGAAAATGTGTTGTTCAGCACTTTAATTATTCCTACTATCTAGCCTGTCACCCTGTGTCTCACTGTCCTGAAGCTTTTAGAGGCAGCTGACTTCTTTGAAGTTTTCCAAGTATCATGTTTATTCTCTGCATTCACACTTTTGTTTTGTTTTTTGTACCAGAGATCAAACTCATGACCTTGCACTTGCCAGGCAGGTATTATGCCACCGAGCTAAATCCCTGGCTGCATTCAGCTTCCCTTTATGCAGGAGTCTGTCTTATTCTTTAAAGTCGTGTTTAGTGGTTTTCAGCTAAGGTTGATTTTTCTTCTGGGCAATGTCTGGAAAGTTTTTTTCTTTTAAAACAAGGTCTTCACCAGATGTGTTCATGCACATCGGTAATCCCAGTATGTCATGGTTATGGGTGGCCCCCAAGCCTTATGCCTTTGCATTATGCATTTGTGATTGGTTCATTGTCTAGCACTTAAATTGGGGGTGTGAGTGCCACATTAACCTAGGGGTGGAGCCAAGATATAATATAATGGCAGGAAGAAGGTGTGTGTCTCTCTCTTGCTGGTTTCTGCCTTGCTATTTGCAGCTGCCATGAAATGTGGCCCCATTATGCCACCCTGCTTTAACTATAAACTAAAACCTCCAAAAACTATAAGAAATAAACCTTTCCTTTCCCAACTTTGGGCATCAGGTATTTTGTCTCAACGATGAGTAGAAAGTGACTATGACACAGTACTTGGGAGGCTGAGGTAGAAGAATTGCTGTAGGGTTGAGGCCAACCTGGACTACATAGTGACACCCAGTCTCAAAAAACAAAAAAACCAAGGTCTTGCTATGTATCCTATGTCAACCTCAAATTTGAGATTCTCCTGCCTCAGCCCTCTAAGTGCTAGAATTACAGTACAAACTTGTGCCACCATGCACTACAGGAGTTTCTTTATAATTTACATAGTTGTGAGGATTAAATGAATGAATATGGAAAGTGTTCAGAGCAATATATGACATATACTAAATATTTAATGGGTGTTAGCTATAATAGTGATGATGATTTTATTGGAACACTCAGGTGTTTTGTATACTTGCCCAAGATTTTTTGTTTTTAATTGAGATATAATTTATACACCATAAAATTCACCGTTTTAAAGCTGGACATGGCAGCATATGCCTGTAATTTGAACATTCGGGAGGCTGAGGCAAGAGGATTGCTGTGAAGGTGAGGCCAACCTGGGTTATATAGTGAGTTTAAGGTCAGCTTAAACTACATAGAAAGACCTTGTCTCAAAAAAACAAAACAACCAAACCAACCAGCACTGTACATTATAAGGTCCTTTGTGACTGGCTTCTTAGAATTTTTTCAAGGTTCATGTATGTGATAGCTTATATTAGAAATTTCTCCTTTTTTTAACTTAAATTTTTTATAATGTATTTTTTTTTTTATTTTGAAGGTAGTAAAATACAACAGAACAAGACAGAATAAAGCCAACTGAGACTAGGTAGTGAAACTGGTACATAAATTCACAGCAGGTTACCAGGATAACAGTAATAGGTATCACAGTATATTTCATTACTTTTACAATAGTTGTTCTTTCAATCACGTATATCAAAGTAAAATGAAATACAGAACATTACAGAACTTATCAAAATAGAATATTGAATAGAGCAGTACCATTAATCAGAACAAAGCAAAAACAATAATAAAAATATTTGCCTTCTAAGAGATGGTAGAAGGAAATCCTCCTTATTTGCTCTGGTCAGACTCCCAAGAGATGCTCAGATTTCTGGTTCCCATTTGCTAATGGGGGGCGGGGGCAGGGGAAGTGGGATGTTTGACTCTAGGCCGCGCACCTGTAGGTTCACTGTTGCTTAGCAGGGAGGAAAGCTGGTTGCTTGGTTTCCTAGGGTCCTAAGTTCCAACATGTCACGGATCTCAGGAGTTGCTAGTGGTTCTCCCCCTGCAGCCGGCCACACCACAGCCGCTTACCAGGCAGGGGAGCTGCTTGCTTGGTTTCCCAGTGTCCTAAGTTCCAACATGGCACGGATCTCAGGAGACACTGGTGGTTCTCCCCTTGGAGGTGCCACAGTTGGCCACATCACAACTGCTTACCAGGGAGGCGAGCTGCCTGCTTCTTAACTTAAATTTTAATTTTTTGTCTTTTTGAGGTAGAATTTCACTTGTAGTTCAGGCTGATATTGAACTCACTATGTTGCCCTGGCTGGCCTCCAATTTAGAGCAGTCATCCTGTCTCAGCCTCCAGAGTGTGGAGATTACAGGCATTCATGACCATACTTACCTTTTCTTCCTTTTTTATTCTAGTATATGTAGAGTTTTGTTGACCTATTCACCAGTTGATGGACATTTATATTGTTTCCACTTTTTAGCTATTAGGAATAAGGCTGTTTTGAACATTTTTGCACCTGTCTTTTCTTTTTTCAAGGCAGGCTGGCCTTGAGCTCAGGCAGGCAGTCTACTTGGCTCAGCCTCTCGGGTACTGGGATTATAGGCATGCAGTACCATGCCTAGCCACAGTGAGCACATTTTCCTTTGTCTGGAGTATATCCCAGATAGTTGGATTGCTGTGTCATATGGTAGCTCTGTGTTTAACTTTTTGAGGGTCTGCCAAATTGTTTCCCATAGTGACTGCACTGTTTTACATTCCCACCAAGAACTATGAGAGTCCCAGATTCTCCCATAGCAACCAACATTTGTTATTTTTTATATTTTCCCTGTTATTTACTTACATTTTAAATTTACATTTTATTTATAGCCTTCCTTGTGAGTGTGAAGTGTCAGCTCATTGTAGTGGTGTGTGATTGTTTATATGTCTTTGTCTGAGAATTGAATGTTCGGTCTGCCTTGTGCCAAGCACAGTACTTTACTGAGCTACGCTTTCTGTGCTGTATTTTGGTTTTGATTTTCAGGGCTGTTTTGTTTGGTGTTTCTTTGATGTTACCCAGCCTGGTTTCTAGCTCTTGGAGTGTAAGCAATCATTCTGCCTCAGCTTCCATAGTAGCCGAGTCTACAGGCATGTGCCAGTGCACGCAGCTATGTGGTTTCCCTTTTGTTTCCATGATTACTAATGTGTACATCCTTTTATGTGATTATTGGCTACTTGTATATATTTTATTTTATTTTATTTTATTTTTGCTACTGGGGATTGAACTCACAAATCTGTGCTTACTAGGCAAGTGCTTGAGCCAGTGAGTTAAATCCCTGGTTCTGTATATTTTTAATGAAACATTTATTGAAATTCTGTACCCATTTTAAAGTTGTCTGTCAGTTGTTGAATTATAAGGGTGTTTTGTTTTGTTTTGTTTTTGGGTTTTTTTGAGACAGATCTCACTATGCAGTTCAGGCTGTCCTTGAGCTCACTTTGTAGCTCAGGCTGGTCTTGAATTGGAAATGATCCTCCTGCTCCAGCCTCCACAGTGCTGGGATTACAGGCATGCGCCACCACACCCAGCCTAAGAGTTCTTTATATATTCTGGATACAGGTCCATTATCAGTTATACCATTGGCAAATTGTTTACCTAATAGTGACATTTGATGGGCTAGACCAAGGTTGGGCAAGGGCCTGGTAAGGGGAAGGTTGTGTATTCAATCCCTAGTACAAAAAATTTTTTTGATGCACAAACACTTTTAATTTTGGTGAAATCGTTTATTGATCTTGTCTTTGGTTACCTTTGGTGTCATATCTAAGAAACCATTGCCTACTCTAAGAGACATGAAGATTTTAACTTTTTATTTTATCTGTATATTTTAGTACATAATGACCACATTCATCGTAGGGAGTGTATACTTGTACATGATACCTCTTGTTTCTTCTTTTTCTCCTATTCCACTCCTCTCTCTTCAAGCCCCCTTGCCCTCTTTATTTACAAAATTTTGTTTCCAGTTTTCCTTCCATTATTTTTTCTTGTCTTCCCTTTCCTCTTCCATGTCCCTTGTTCCTTTTCTCATTTGAACATTTTCTATTTTCCAATATCCATTACATTATATATGTTAGTCCTTATTTTAGTCCTTATTTTCATGTGGTATTTGAACATGAATGTCCAGTTTATTTTACTAAGAGTGTGGTCTCAAAGCCAGGGATGTAGCTCAGTTGCAAAAATGCCTGCCCGATAAGTGCAAGGTTGTGAGTTTGATCTCCAGTACGAAATAAAGGGAATAGGCTCAAAGTTACCCCCTTAACTAGAAATGTGTCTAGCTTATCCTTCTTTGTGGCAGACTAGCACTCTATTGTACTAAAAGAAAATCACACTTTTGTCTATTTCTTGGTTATTTCCAATATTTAGCTATTACAAACATGGGTGTGCATATACCCATATTGTGATATGATGCTTTTAATTGTTTTGACGATATCAAGAAGGGGATCAGCTGGATCAAATGGAGCCTCTAGATTTAGTTTTTTGAGAAATTACTGATTTCCATTGTGGTTGTACCAACAGTGAAGAAGGATTCCTTTTTTTCCATAGCCCCTGTAGCGTTTCTTATTGATTTCTTGATGATAGCCATTCTTTCTAGGATGAAATGGAATCTCAGTGTTGTCTTAATTTGTATCGCTTGAAAGAGCAGTGATATTTAACATTTTTTCTTATATTTATTTGCCGTTTTTACTTCTTCATCTGAGAAGTGTCTATTCATTTCAGATGCCCATTTTTAGATCTTTAAATCTGAGCGGTCTGATTATTTTGTCTTTAGGACAGGAGCACACACTCTTGATTAAAAGAGCTTTGTAGTTTGGTGTGGTGGCACACGCCTGTGATCCCAGCATAGCGGAGGCAGAGGCAGAATGGCCATGAGTTTGAGGCCATCCTGGGCTACAAAGTGAGTTCAGGCCAGGCTGAGCTGTATAGTCAGAGCTGTCTATAAATAGTCTTTTCTTAGTCTCCCAAGTAATAGCTGCAGTTGTAAGTGTGGTTCATTATGCCCAGCTTCAATTTATCAATTTCTATAAAAACAAGCCTTTGGAATTTTTATAGGAATTCCATTGAATTTGCAAATTTTAGAAGTATTTCCACCTTATAGTATTGTTTTCTGTTTCATCATTGTAGGCTATCTTTCTGTCTTTCAATTTGTTTAGGTCTTTTATGACCCAACAATGTCTTACAGTTTTTGTATGTAGGTGTTTTGGTTTTTTTTGTCTTTTTGAGACAAAGTTTCACTATATAGTTCAGGCTGAACTGAACTCCCGTTGTAGCCCAGGCTTCTCTTAAACTCATAGTGATCCTCTTGCCTCAGCCTCCTGAGTAATTTTGATTTTTTTTTTCTTTTTCCTTTTTATTGGTACTGGGGATCGAACTCACGACTGCCTGTTTGCAAGGCAGGTGCTTATGCCGCCGAGCTAAATCCCCAGCCCCATTTTGATTTTTTTTTAAGACAGAGTCTCACCATGTACTTCAGGATGGCCTTAAACTCTTTTAGATGATCTTCCTTATCAGCCTCCTGAGTGCTGAGATTGCTGAGGTGCATCACGCTGTGTGGCTATTTTATTGTTTTTTTTTTTTTTTTGAGGGGTGAGGTTGAGACAGTTTCACTTTATAACCCAGGCTGGCCTTGTACTCATGATGATTCTCCTGTCTCAGCCTCCTAAGTAGTGGCATCATAGTTGTACCCCACGATACTTGGCAGTTTTATAGTTCTGAATGCCCAAATCTTATAATTCTTTGGTTAGGTTTATTCTGATATATTTTATGCTTTTTAATATTATTGTAAATGAAAGTTTATCTTTCTTTTTTATTTATTTTGAGACAGGGTCTCACTATGTAGTTCAGGCTGCCCTTGAACTCAGTGATCCTCCTGCCTCAATTTCCCAGGTACTGCTGGGATTACAGCCTTGTGCCACCATGCCTCTTTGTTTGTTTGTGTCATATTGAGGATTAAACCCAGGGCCTTAGACATGCTAGGCAAATGCTCTACCACCCCCCAACCCTTTTTTAAAATTTTACTTTGAGACAGGAATTTGTAAAGTTGCTCAGGCAGCTGTTAAACTTGTGATTCTTTTGCCTAACTGGGATTATGGGTGTGTGCCACTACATCCGGCTAATGACCTTGTTTTCTTAATTCTATTTCCTGGTTGTTCTTAGTTAATATGTAAATGTGATAGCTTGGACCCCAAGGAAGCAAGAAATTAATTTGGGGAGCAAAGGGTTTATTTAGGCCAGGCCTGGTGACGAGTCTCCGGCAGCCAATTTGGAGACTGCGCACCCCTGAGACTGGAGAAGGGGATTTTAAAAGTTGGAGAAGACCGGGGGTGTGTGTGTGTGTGTGTGTGTGTGTGTGTGTGTGTATACCCCGCAGAGCTGTTAAGCTGTTGACCCAAATCTGGAAACTGTAAAGCTGTCCACTTAGTTCTGATAACATCGGGAGCCTTTTAAGTTACTCCCATTCTGCAAATAAACATTATCTCTGCAATAACATTCGGAGAGGAATGTAGAAAGTTAATTATTTTGGGACAGCTCGTTAGCGCTAACATGTGAGAAGGGGTCAAAAGTTACAAGAAGCTGAAACTTAAGTTTTTACAAGGATTTCGAACTTAACCCTTTTAACCCTTTTGGTGCATTAGGGTTAAGCCACAACATTTTTGTCATTTCTTTGAAGTTGAGCATTTCTTAAGAACAGTACAATTAGCACATTTTATGACAGACTACCACCGGGTAGGGAAAGGGGGAAGGCAGTGCAGCTTGCATTACAGAACAGAAAATATGGCGAGATTACTTTCCTTGGGGAGAGCAAGGTCAGGTAAGAGTTGTGCTAACAAGCAAGTCTCCCCGCGTACAAGCAAGTTTAGATAAGAAGAAATCCTGTTTTCCTCAGCAGAGAATGGGGAAGCCTAGGAGTAATTAACAACTCCTGTTAGTTTATCTTAGCACCGCATCTGTTATTTGTAGAGAGCAACAATGGCTAACATATCAATTAGGTAAGGTTTTACAATTCTTTACAGAGAAGAGCATTGATTAACATGTCAATTAGGTCACCAAGAGGGAGAAGGAAAACACATATACGGTATGGCCGTGTTACAGGTAATTTGCTATAATACAAATATAATGAAGCTATTTTTCTTAGAATACAACAGTAGACATACGAATGATTTGTATGTATTGATCTTTAGCAGGCTCTGGCTTTAATCTGAATACCATCAGTCCGTGTTCTCTCCAATTTGATACAGAATCACTGCTCTCTGTACTGACACATTTATCTGCCTGATCCCTGATGGCATTTTCTTTACCTGTTGGATGTTCCCATGATTATAAATGATCTGTGTTGGCTAGAGATGGTTTTGCTATGCTGATGACACAACAAAGGCTGAGGAGGGAAGGAATGCAGGAAAGAATGGGTCTGTGTGAACTGACAAAAAAGAGGATACCCCAATGCATAATGAAGGGAATTGGGGCTCAGTAGCAGAGGGGCCATTGTTTTCTGTTTTTAGAGGTGACTGAGAGGACGGCTCCTTGTGGAAGCAGTGCCTGAAGGAGTCTTACCTGGGAGGTTTGCAGTGCCAGGATGCTGTCCCGACCAAAGCCTGGAGAGTCCGAAGCGGACCTGCTGCGCTTCCAGAGTCAGTTTCTTGCTACTGGTGCCTCCCCAGCGGTGCAGCTGAAGAAAGGAAGCAGGAAAGGCAGTACTGCTAACGCAGATCGACCTCCTCGGCAGGACCATCGCGATGTGGTAATGCTGGACGGTGAGCGTCTGCGGGTATGAAGTAGAAGGGAGCACAAGGGTAGCCTCGGGGCCCTTCCCATCATTTCAGACACTGGTGCTGCAGTCTCATTTTACAGATGAAGAAAACAAGGCTCAGAAAGATTAAATATTTTATCCATGGTGACACAATTTGAGGCAGAGACCCACAGCCGTTGCCTTTTTCCCTTTGCCCCTACCCCCAGTCCCTCAGCGGTTGTCTTAGTTACTTTTTTCTTTGCTGACACAAAATACCCAACACCCAAAGTTAAAGGAGGCCCATGGCCAAGTGGGGCCAGCTTGGACTACAAAGTGAGTTGAAAGCATAGCATAACATAGCTGAACTGCATAGCAAGACCTTGCCTCAAAAAGAAAACAAAAAACAAAGTTAAAGGAGGGAATGTTTATTTGGCCCACAGTTTGTAGAGGTTTCAGTGCATAATCAGCTGGCTCCGAGGCAGGGTGGCATGGAAGAGGGGCATTACAGTGGAGAGACAGCTTATGGCAGGCCGAAGACTGCAAAAGTAGCAAGCAGCGACAATGGTAGCCGTCTTTCTGTCCCTTATAGTCTATCCAGGCTACCTGGGCAAGTAGCACTCATACCCAGGTGGAGCAGCTTTCATCCTAGCACCAAACCATGAATCCATTCCAGCATCACCTCTTTGATCCCAGCATCACACACTTTAGCTCTAGCTACATCCAAAAGCTCCGCCCATGACTGCATGAGGGAAACCTCTAGATATAAGCCATAACGTTATGTTTCTGGGAAGGCATGAGCATCCTCACATCTGAGGTTTCTTTCTTTCAGATCTTCCAGATTTGCCCCCAGCTTTGGTTCCTGCTCCAGCAAAGCGAGCCAGGCCCAGCCCTGACCAACCCTTGCCTGCAGATGAGGACGCTGAGGAGAGATTGAGCAGACATGACCAGCATATCACTGCAGTCTTGACCAAGATTATTGTGCGTCTTACTCCAGCTGAGTGGGACAAGGCGTCCGAGCAGCCAGGATGTTGGGGAGGAGGAGGAAGCAAACTTTCCATGAGTCGCATTAGGCTGGGTTAGAATCCATGTGACCTGACACAAGATGTGTTTGGACCCCTTTCCAGTGAGGGTCTCAGGATGGGAGCTGGGGCCCCGGGGATGGGCTCCCATCTGGAGAAGTCTGCGTCTTGACTGCTTTGTGCTTTGTTGCCACAGGAACGAGACACAAGGTCAGTGACTGTGACACTTCCTGTACCCAGTGGTGTAGCTTTCCCTGCTGTGTTCCATCGCTCACAAGACAGACAGGTGGGCAGGGTAACGTTAAGTGGTGCTTAGGGAACTGTTGTAGAGTCTCATCCAGGAGTTAAGCAACTCCATCTTAATTTTTGTATTTCCTCTTTTGGTTTTTTGAGACAAGCTCTCACCACATAATTAAGGCTGACCTTGAACCCTCTGTGTACAGTAGTACTGGCTGGCCTCAAACTCACAGCATGCCGACTCAGGATGCATCTCATTCCTCCTGCTTCAGCCCCTAAAGTGCTGGATTGCATGCTTGCACCACTGCCCCCAGCTAGCAACTCCATTTCTAAAGCAGCATCACACTAAGCTCATCACACATATTGACTCATCTAATTTTCATAACCCTCTATAAGATAGATACCACTATCCCCATTTTTCACATGAGCAGACAGATGCCCCAAAGAGATAAATAATTTGTTCCATACCACACATCTCATATGTGGAAGAGCTAGAATTTTAACTCAAGCTAATCAGGTTTCAAGATCTTTGCTTCTGTGGACCCCAAATTTTCTTTTGAGGACTGGGATTGTGACCACTGGGGATTGAACAGGGTCTCTTCTGTCTCTGTGTTCCAGAGACCTTAGTAAAGGGAGTTGAGGTAGAGTAGAAAGTGAGTGTGATCACTGGGTTTTCTTTTCGCTCCATAGGAGAAGCCAGCAGCATCTGGTAAGAGGAGCCTCTTTGCCCAAGAGATTGCAGCCAGGAGGGAGTCTGAAAGAAGGGCAACATCAATTGCAGGAGCCGTGGCCCACCCAGGACCACCAGAGGGTGAGCTGGGGCAGAAGATGCCCGGGCTTGGTCTGTTTTGTTTGTTTTGTTTTGTTTTTGTCTTTTTGAGACAGGTTTTTACTATGTAGTTCAGGCTGGCCTTGAACTACATAGTAGTTCAAGTGATCCTCCTGCCTCAGCCTCCCAAGTGCTAGGATTACAGCGGTCTGTTTAAAGACTCAATCATAGGATCCCCTGTGGATATAGATCTTTCCTGCCTCAAAGGGGAGGACTGTTTGAGTGATCATCTCAAGAAAGTCATTCTGTGTCCTCAACGTCACTTGGAATACTAAATTGGGGAGCCTTGGGTCTCGAGGGAAGTCCATAATCAGCTGCAAGGCAGGGTGGCGTGGCAGAGGGGCATTACAGAGGAGAAATAGCTCATGACAGAAGAAGCGAAAGCAGCAAGCAGCAACATAATAGCCTTCTTTCTGTGCCTTATTGTCTATCCAGCCTAGCTGGACGGGTAGTACTCATACCCAGGTGGGGCAACCTTAATCCTAACCCTGAGGGGCTGGGGATTTAGCTCAGCGGCATAAGCCCCTGCCTTGGAAGCGTGCGGTTATGAGTTCAATCCCCAGTACTGAAAAAGAAAAAGAGAAAGAAAGAAAGAAAGAAAGAAAGAAAGACAGACAGACAAGCAGAAAGGAAGGAAGGAAGAAAGGAAGAAAGAAAGAAAGACAGAAAGAAGAGATCCTAACCCTGAGCCATGTGTCAATCCCAGCATCACATCTTCAACCCCTGTTCCTTCCTGCATCTTCAAGGTGCAGGAAGGAACAGCCCTTATACAACTTGAAAAAGGAGGTGGAAGCATCTGGCAGAAACAGAATACACAGGCTAAATTTCCATGGTACTATATTAGAAGAGCATGGGGCAGACTGCTGGAGGAGATGGCTACCTAGCTGTCTGACAGAAGAGTGAGAAATCAGGAGGCTTCTTGGGAAAAGCTTTCCCTATAAATCTTAGGGGAAAGTGGCTGAACAGCCACTCCCGCTGGAGGCTGACTTTAGGGCAGTCAGACTCCCAGAGGAGACCTCAGAGTCCGCAACAGCCAGGCCAGCAGATCAGTGAGACTGATTGTACTCTTCTTCCAGGTACTGTGAGCTGTGAGGCACCTGCTCCTAGGGATCAGGTCACTCGACATCTGGAGAACAGCCACACTTTCCAGAGGCCCCGTCTGGTCACAGGAAAGGGGCTCAGTGGCCAGGAGGCTGAGCAAGAAGTCCAGACCATCCATGAAGAGAATATAGCCCGCCTGCAGGCCATGGCTCCAGAGGAGATCCTGCAGGAGCAGCAGCAGTTGTTGGCCCAGCTTGGTGCGGTGCTGGGCTTTCCTGTGGGTCGGGGCGGGTGAGAGTTTGATTCCCAGTACCAAAAAAAAAAAAAAAAAACAACTTCCCCTCAGGCTACACAGCTGCTGGGGAACACAGACTGGATTTACTTCATTTCATTTTTTTGTAATGCTGGGGATCAAGCCCAGGGCCTTGCACATGCTAGGAAAGGACTTTCATCACTGAGTTACAATGCCGGTCCTACAAGCTATATTTAAACATGAATAGAATTCAGCCCAAATTTCTGTCTGTTATTCTGGGGGCTTGCCTGGTTTTTTTTTTTTTTTTTTTTTTTTAATGTTTTTCTTGAGACAAGTTCTTACTCTATTGTCCAGACTTGACTTAAACTTGATGCATATTTCAGGCTGGCTTTGAACTCCTGCTTTAGCCTCTTAGGTAGTTAGGATTTCAGGCAGGCTCCACCATGCCCAGCTACTCTTAAGCACTGTGCTTTGTGTTCCTCTCCCACCTGGTGTACACATATGTGCTTTGTTATCATCGTAGTCTAATGCAGTAATGGTGAACATTTTGGAGACAGGTGCCTAAACTACAACCCAAAACCCACTTATTGATTGCAAAGAGCCAACAAGGCAATTAAATCTGCATGCTGTTCGATCCCTGGTACCGATAAAAATGAAAAAGACAAAAAAAAAAAAAAAAGAAAAGAAATCTGCATGCTGGGGTTTAATTTAGAAAAAAGCAACTAGGGGCTGGGGGTTTAGCTCAGCGGCATAAGTGCCTGCCTTGAAAGCAGGCAGTCCTGAGTTCGATGCCCAGTGCCGATAAAAAGGAAAAAGACAAAAAAAAAAAAAAAAAAGCAACTGTTAACTGATGCTCAGCTGCTGGGGTGATGTGGCTGACAGAGAGGACTCTGTGTGCCCACTATGGTTCGTATGTCAGAGGTTTGCCACCACTGATCTAGTGTAACCACAGTATGGTTTTGTGTTTTTTTTGGTACTGAGGATCAAACTCACAACCAAGTGGGTACATAGGCCGCTAAGCTAAACCCCTAGCTCAACCACAGTATGTACTACTGTATGACACTATGCTATGCCACCTCCTTCTTGATTTCTGTCGTCTTCTCTAATTTCTAGTTTCTAGACACACAGTCAGTCTTGTTCCTGGCTGAGTGTCTTACAATTATATAACACATACAAGATTTTTGTAAACATGTGCATAAATTAACAGAGAAGACAATGAAAATCGTTTCCCTAAATGTGTTTTCTTTGGCCATAGTTATCATTCATTCACTTGTTGCATAGTCAGCCACCTTTTTTTTTTTTCTTTGACAGCCACTTATGTATTTATTTTGGGGTGTTTATTTTATTTTTTATTAAAACCTGTGCAAATTATAATCTGATGTTACTACATTTAAACAAACATGATCCAACACAGTAACACATGTCTTCAACTCCAGCCCCATGTTCAAACACTTTCATGTGCTGCACCATAAAAATTGGAATACCAGATCTATAATTTTGCTTGTTTTCTGTGCTTTATAGTAATTTTAGTCTTAGCAAGAATCTTAATGGTTAATACTATCACTTTAATCTGTATTAGGTTGCTGTAATATTTTGCTTCTGCTTTGTTTTCTGAGGTCGAATCTCACTGTGCAGTCCAGGCTTCATTCCTCTTGCTCAGCCTCGCGAGCCCCAGCATCACAGACTTTTACCACTGTGTCTAGCAGTAATATTCCTTCTTATATCAAAACTCATACCAAACAATGAGTTCTGTGTTGCAAAAAAGGTTACTTTTTGCAGCCATCTGTTAAATTTTAGTCCACAATTTTTTTGTCTTTTTTTGAGACAAGGTCTCTGTAGTTCAGGCAGGCTTTGAATTCACTATGCAGCCCACGCTGGGCTCGAACTTCTGGCAATTCTCCTGGCTCAGCCTCCCCAGAACTTGTATTACAGGCATGTGCAACCACATGTGGACTACAGCCACTTACTTTTGATCTGTGACCCGGGTGCCAAGCATGGGAACCTGGGCCTAGGGACTTTAGAGGAAAAGACAGGAGAATGATCAGACCTCAAGGGCCACACACTGTGAAGAAGGAAGCACCATGGGAAGGCAACAGGAGGGCCCAATGGTCAGGCCAGGGCTGGAAAGCAGCTTCTCCTGTCCTGGCACCTAGAGGCAGACAGCTCTCACAAGTGCCAAGCCAGGGGAGCCCTGGAGGTCGGCCGTTGCTCACTGTACCCTCACCTCACCTCTAGACTCCAGCATGATTGCCTTCTTGCGATCTCATAGTCACACCCAGGAGCAAGCAGGAGAAAAGGCAACTGAGGAGCAGAGGCCAGGAAGATCTTCGGTTCCTGTGACCCAGGAGGAGCCCCTCGTGTCAGTATCTGCCAGTGACAGGCAGGACAGTGAGCCGGAGCCAGGAGCCCCAGGTTTGGAGGATAACCATGTTTTTGTGGATAAAAGTAGAGAAGTATTCCTTCTCATAACCCTGGCGAGTGGGGAAGAAAAAAGCTTCTGTGCCCTAGGAAGTGGACGGTTAATCCTCATTAGTGGCTTTAAGTTGGCTCAAATCAGTCTTCATTTGCTGTGCACATCTTCCTGTGCATGCTTCCTGTTTTCTCGTCCTGTTCTGCTCCTCCCCCTTCCTGGTGAGCAGCAGCAGGAGTCATGACTGCAGCTGCTTCCCTGAGCACACTCTCTCCCTGCCCTGCTGCAGCTGTCCAGCTGTTGCCCTCTCCTCTCCTCCGTTCCTTCTGCCTCTTCATGTTGGTATCTGCCAGCTACAGGGCATGGGAGAGGAAGAGGCTGATGAACATCTTTGTACATGCCAGATCTCAAGCAGAGGCCAGTGGAAGTACTCAGGTCTCAGAAACTAGATTATTTTATTAGGACTAACAAAGGAAGAAATTAAATTACAATGGCCAGGAACCTCCTGCTCCCGGAGGCATCCAGGGCCAGCCTAGGGCCAGCCAGGCAGGTTGGTTGGGTGGAGGAGTGAGAGAGTGAGACAATGTGTTCTTGTGTCCTGGCCCCTGGAGTAGTACACTGCCCCTCACTGTCCCCTCTCCTCCTTCCTTCCAGGGGCTACAACTGAGAGTGGGAAACTGATTTCCCTGTATATGTAGTCTTCCCTTGTTTCTCTGTTCTTCTTTTCCTCTCTGCTGTTTTTCTCCCCATCCAGCAAATCCTTGCAGGCAGTGGAAGGCTGGAGTCAGGACTAGATGGGTCTACCATAGCTAAGACCTTCACCCCATTCTTAGGCGTTCCTATCCCCAAGTCTCGCTTAGTCCCACCCAAGGGTAGAAGCTGTGGGTACTTGGGCACAGGGGAGTATGGCAGACCCTCAAAAAAAACCACCATGCTTCTATCTAGCTCTGAAACTGTCACTGAACCCCCACAAAGAATGGCTACACATGGACACTGTTGAGCTGGAGAAGCTCCAATGGACACAGGATCTGCCCCCGCTCCGGCGGCAGCGGACGCAGGAGGTGAGCACGGCCTGCTGGCCTACCATGGTGGGAGTGGCACTGCTGCTCTGGCACCCAGCACCCAGGCCCTTGTTCCCTGAGCCTGTAAAACACCTCTGCTCTCCCCTTCCAAACCCTCTCTGGGCCCTTCTGTCACAGAAGCCCATTTTCACTGACCAGTAGAGTCAGGACCTAAGTCCTCAGATGCCTGGGATTAAAGGTGAGCAGTGGGTATAAGAAAGCTGCTTCGGGGGGCTGGGGATTTAGCTCAGCGGCATAAGTGCCTGCCTTGCAAGCAGGCAGTCGTGAGTTCGATTCCTGGTACTGATGAAAAGGAAAAAGACCCCAAAAAAAAAGAAAGCTGCTGCTGTCCCAGCCCAGTCTTCTTTCTCTTCATTAGAAAATGCAGGCCCGATTCAGTCTTCAGGGAGAGCTCCTGCCCCCAGATGTGGACCTACCCACCCACCTCGGCCTCCACCACCATGGAGAAGAGGCAGAGGTGAGGCCTGGGGCCCAGGGACGACTGGGCAGATCTTGGGAGGAACTTTGACAACCATGTGGAGAAGCACCCCTGGCCCAGTGTGGTCTGCATGCCCTCTTCCAGGTCATGGCCTTGCTGCCCATTCAGTTTCTTAGGCTCAGAATTTCTTTCTATTGCTGTCATTCTGGTCAGTCCTTAAACTTGCCAGTCCCCTCCATGACCTCCCCTAATACTCCTGGGTTATGGCCTTATGCGCTAGTGTCTGCTGAGTCTCCAGGCCTGCCTCGCATTTCCTTGGGGCACTCCATCCTTCCTGAACTGCCCACGCTGGTTTCCTCTGGCCCAGCTCAGGCCACACCTCATCTTAGCAAGTGGCTTCCCTCTGTGTAGAACAAAGTTCTAGCTTCTTAGTTTAGCCAGGCAGTGCTTCCGCAGGCTGCCACTGCTGACCCTCTGGCCCTGCCTCCTTTATTCACTATTGTGGGACCACTCACTTTGCTGGCTCTGTCCTCATCCCCTGTGCTTAGGGACCCCAGAGCTCACTTCAGGGAAACCCTTTACTTTTGCTCTGCTGGAATTGCCTATTCATGAGACCAGATCATTTTTCCAGGTCCACATCCTTCCTGTCATCTGGTTGCAAATTAAAAATCAATTGCTATCTTCCTCCATCTGCCTGATGCCATGACACATGTGTACATGTCCTATTTTCTTTACCAGGCTAAGGCCCCTTGGAGTGACATTTATTTACCTTGTCTTTCCCTGGCATCTTGCTGGATATTTCTGGGATACCACCTGTGTCTTGCCTTCCTTCAGCTTCTTATTCCTGCTCCAGAGAGCAGGCTATTCCTTACAGGAGCTGTTCCTCCTGACCCGAAGCCAGGTGTCTCAGCAGCGAGTGTTAGCACTGCATGTGTTGTCCCAGGTCATTAGTAGGGTAAGTGGACTTCTGGCCTGGCCTGGTCAGCTCCATCCCGCACCCTCACCTTCCAGTCTTAGACTTCCCTCCCTTCTGTCCTTTCTGCCTGGCATGAGCCCATACATCAGTTGTCTGGGAATGGGGCAAGCACAGCAGTCATGGACTGGCAAAGATTTTCTGTAACTGCAGCAAGGTTTTATCCTCCTGCCCCAAGGCCCAGGCTGGCGAGTTTGGGGACAACCTCGAAGGCAGTGTCTTACGCCTCCTTTTGGATGCTGGTTTCCTCTTCTTGCTGCGCTTCTCTCTGGACGACAGAGTAGATGGGGTCATCGCAGCTGCCATCCGGGCTCTTCGGGTTCTGCTGGTGGCACCTGGAGATGAGGTACCACGGGGTAGAGCCCTGCTTCTCCTGCTTGGTGTGCCCTGTTGCCACAGTTTTGTGGGCAGAGTGGAACAAGGGATGGCAGGCCACCCTCTCCTAAAAGCCCCAATACCTGGAAACCGTGTCTTTCAGTTTTTTTCTAAGGGCTTCCACTCTTCCACTCCTGGACTCATTTCCTGCCCTCTCCTTGTTTTCTCACCCGTGCCTCCGTCCTCTGATAGGAGCTCCTGGACAGCACCTTCTCTTGGTTCCATGGAGCTTTGGTCTTTCCTCTGGTGCCTAGCCAGGAGGACAAGGAAGGTGAGGATGAGGATGAAGAGCCTCCAGCAGACAAAGCAAAGAGCCCTGAGGAAGGAAGCCGCCCTCCCCCTGAGCTGGCACGACATGATGTCATCAAGGTAGAGGAAAGGCTTCTTCCCCATCCCAGACTCAGCGTGCAAGTGTTTTGCTCAGGAAGGGTCATCTGGACTCACCTTCATTTGCCAGTTGGTTTTTCTCTTGACCCCAGGGGCTCCTGGCTACCAATCTGCTGCCTCGGCTACGCTATGTACTAGAGGTGACCCGCCCAGCGCCCACAGTGGTTCTTGACATCCTGGCTGTGCTCATCCGCCTGGCCCGGCATTCCCTGGAGTTAGCCACAAGGGTGAGAAGATGGGACCAGGGAGAGAGCCCAGAGTACACCAGAGCCTGGCCTTGCTTCTCCGCCTTCCCACCTCCTCTTTCCTGCAGGTACTGGAGTGTCCACGGCTCATGGAAACCATTGTTCAGGAGTTCTTGCCTATCACCTGGTCCCCTGTGAGGGTGGGACCTACCCCCAGTCTGTACAAAGTACCCTGTGCTGCTGCCATGAAGCTCCTTCGAGTCCTGGCCTCGGCCGGTAGGAATATTGCTGCCCGGCTGGTGAGTAGGACATGGGTCAAGGGATGGGGTCATGAGAGCTGGAAGCTAAGCAGAACCCCTGAATTTTGAGTGGCCAGCTCATACCATCTTCCTCTTTCTCTTCACTCTGGTTGTTTAGGCATTCAATAGAAACTACCAGACAGGAAGTGGGTCCCCCAGGAGCCCAGTGCATCCTGTGGTTCTCCTCTGGTCTCATGTTTAGGGGAGGCTCCCTGCCCTGGCCCAGATCAGAACCACACACACAGGCACTCATCATCCACAGCCAGATAACCTAGGAACCAAAATAGTTCATTAAAAAGAAGGAGGGAGATAGTTTCACCCCTTCCCAGAGCTGTGACCCTGTGCCACCACAGAGGGTTGGAACAGGCTAAGGTGAGCCAATTTCCATAGTGAAAGAACCTGATGCCCATTGAATATGGAACTGTATGACCCTGAACCCCAGTTCCCCTCTCTCTAGTTGAGCAATTTTGATATTCGAAGCCGCCTGTGTCGCTTCATAGCCGAGGCTCCCCAAGAACTGTCCTTGCCTCCTGAGGAAGCGGAGGCACTGAGCACGGAGGCCCTGCGTCTGTGGGCCGTGGCTGCCTCCTATGGTCAGGCCGGTGACCTTTACAGGTGAGGAGATTCGAGTGAGGGGAGACCGTGGAGGGAGGTCGGGAACATGGAAGTGGGTGTGAAACAGTGAGGGTCTGGACCAGCTGGGGAAGAGGAATCAGTGTGGACTGAATAGTATTCTGTGTACAAAAGCACTAGTATCTTGGTAACATCACATAGAAGTCCCTGTTGCAAGTAGCCTCAAAGGTATGTCCTTCCCATTTTTCAGGGCCAGTCTTTCAAGAGTGCTAAGATCAGGGCTGGGGATTTAGCTCAGCGGCATAAGCGCCTTTTTTTGCAAGTGTGCGGTCTTGAGTTCGATCCCTGGTACCAATAAAAATGAAAAAGACAAAAAAAAAAAGAGTGCTAGGATCTTCTCTGTCCCCATTTTCTCTCACCAAACTATGGGTCCTGGACAGGGCTGGGTCTGTGCCTTATGTCTGCATCTTCTTGCACACTGTGACAGTCACTGTTTTTCCCTAGGGAGTTGTACCCAGTGCTCATGAGCACCTTGCAGGCTGTGCCCACAGAGCTTAGCACCCACCCACCACGGCCCCTGTCCATGCAGCGAGTAGCTGCACTGCTCACTCTCTTCACCCAGCTGACCCTGGCAGCTAGCAACAGTCCTGCTGAGCCCCACAGGTAGGCCAAGCCCTGCCCTGCCCCCAGACGCATCCTGCTGGCATTGCCAGGACAGGAAGGTATGCACCCTCCCAGGGAGAGGGTAGCTGGAGCTTGGAGGGAGTGAGGCAGCTGTCTTCTCACTTGCCCCTTGATATTCCTGTAGTGACACTGCTGAGGCCCCATTGGCCACCCCTTCCTTTGTCACGTGGACACAAATATCTGGACTCCAGCCACTAATGGAGCCATGTTTGAGGCAGACTTTGAAACTGCTGCCCAGACCTGAGGTGTGGCATGCTCTGGGCCCCGTGCCTGCTGCCTGTCTGCTGTTCCTGGACGCCTACTACCAGGCCTGGAGCCAGCAGGTGAGTGCCTCTATGTCTGTCCCTAATGCATCCTGTCCCATTGCCCTCTCCATGGCCACCTCCACTCTTCCTTGTCCCCACTGTTCCTCACACCACAGCTCTTCGTTGTTGTTTTGGTGGATGAAACCCAGGGCCTTGTGTGTGCTAGGCGAATGCTCTGCCACCAGGCTATACCCCGTCCTCTGCATGTTAGCTCCCACCTGGCTTCTTGTTCCCACCTCCATATCACAGTGAGCTTCCAAAAACCTGTGTTGCCAGGGACCAGAGATGCTCGAGCAGCCGCTCAACTCACCTGTAACCCTTATATTCTCTTTGTCCACACATACACTGGGTACAGGACAGCTTTAGGGCCTTCTGGTCCTCATAAAAGTGAGACTACATAACCCTCCAAAGTGACCACTGGGGCTTCTGGAATGAGGGGGATGGCCTGGGAACACAGAGAGTAAGAACACAGACATCCTGGGCCATCCATCACCTCAGTGGTTCCCTTGGTCCTCAGCTAAGCTTGTGCCCTGAGGATTGGCTTCAGGACATGGAGCGCCTGTTGGAGGAGGTGCTGGAACCACTGCTGTGCCAGCCTTCTCTGTGCAGCTTGTGGGATTCACTTAGGTAGGTCCTTGGTGTGTTTAGCTAGGTGGTTGGGGGAGGACTCCTGGGTCCATTTCCCTGGCCCTTCCTGGAGCTTAACCCTCAGAGGTCCAGGGGGAACCTGGGTCCCTGGTGGTTAGCAGGCAGTGGGGCTCTGAAGAGTGTGGCGCTGGGCTACACAGCCATGCCTGCTGGCCTTGTCCAATCTGGTGCACATCAGGTCAGAGCCCCTCAGCTTTTGCATTCTGCCTGCAGGCTCTGCTCCCCTCTCTGCAACCCACTATCCTGTGCGCCAGCCCCTGAAGCTCTCCCCAGCCTTGTGTCACTGGGCTGTGCCGGAGGCTGCCCCCCACTCAGCCTGGCTGGCTCAGCCTCACCCTTCCCGTTCCTCACTGCCCTCCTCTGTCTCTTCAACACCCTTGTTCGGATCCACAAGGGTCTTTGTGGCCAGGTAAGCTCTGGGTGCCAGGTAGGGGTCGAGTGGGGCCAGGGTGGCAGGGGTCAGAAACAAAGTGGGGAGACCTCACTTCCTGAGAACCCATTTGCCCGAGTGTCTGGCAGTGCAGCCACCCAGGGAACCCAGAAGGCATCAGTCAGTTTCCAGATCTGAACAGACTCGCTTCCCCTCAGCTGGCTGCTGTACTGGTTGTCCCAGGACTTGAGAAGTATTTCCTCCAGTGTGTGGCTCCTGGTACTGCCCCGCTTCTCACACCCTTCTCCACATGGGCCCTGCGCCACGAGTACCACCTGCAATACCTGGCACTCTCTCTGGCCCAGAAAGTGGTAGGTCCCCTCTGTAGGTGCCTCCCCTCCTGTTAGCTCTCCTGCTTCTTTGCCAGGCCACCAGGCCGTGCTGCCTCTCCTCTGCTCCTGACGTTCCCTGGATCTGTGCCCTCCGCCTGTGTCCACTGCTCCACTGCTCTGCCGTCTTCCCTGCACTGAGTAACACTCCTTCTCCGCACAGGCAGCATGCCAGGCAGCGCCAGCCGCCAGTGCTGCCCTCCATCATGCTGTGGCCTTGGCCCTGCTGAGCCGCCTGCTGCCAGGAAGTGAGCACCTCGCTGAGGAGCTGCTGCAGAGCTGTGTGTTCCGGTTGGAGTTCCTCCCGTGAGTGTAGAGTCAGGGCATGAGCTCAGTCCTTTGCATACTATTGTGGTTGTCGACAGAGTAGCCTGATTTGAGGCAGGGGACCTATGGTCCCTTTCTTTCTATGGCTTATATGTACCCTATCTGAGCTTCTGTGTCCTCTTAGTAAAGTGAAGATGAGGCTTACATACTAGAAAGTGATCTCAAGACTTCAGTGCAAATCTACAGGTAAAAAGTGGTATATAGCTGGGGTTTTAGCTCAGTGCATAAGCGCCTGCCTGGTAAGCGCGAGGTCATGAGTTTGAGCCCATATACCAAAAAAAGAAAAAACAAAATGAAACAAAACAGTGGTATATAAAGCAGTCATAGACATCTCTTAGTTACTAATCATGTGTTCTGTGTCTGCTGTTCCTCTGGGTGTGCCGTGAGGTAGTAGTACTGTCATTGTCCCGACTGTCCTGTGAGGAAACAGGCACAGGGAAGTTACGTGAACTGTAGCTGGGGGTGGGCTTCAGCATCCATCCTCTTGGCCACTTCACAGCACTGCTTAGAAGGTCATCAGAGGAGCAGCGAGAAATAGGTTGAATTTAGAAGCCGTAGGTAACCTGGGCATATAGCTCTAACATACATGAGGCCCTGGATTTGATCCACAATACTGAAAAAAGAGCCGGGTGTGGTGGCTCATGCCTGTAATCCCAGCACTTGAGAGGCTGAGGCAGGAGAATTGTTGCAAGTTTGAGACCAGCCTGGGCTACAAAGTGAGCTCAAGGCCAGCCTGAACTGCATAGCGAGACCCTGTCTCAAAAAAAAAAAAAGACAAAAAAACACAACACTGAAAAAAGAAAAGAAAAAACAAAAAAACCCAGGAAGGCTCTGGGAAGCCCAGAGCGCTGGTGTAGCCTTCTGGCTACCATGGTTCTAGCCCTTGTCCTTGACTTTTGGGTTCTGTTCCAGAGAAAGCACATCAGGAGGTCCAGAAGCAGCTGACTTCTCCGATCAGCTGTCTTTGGGGAACAGCGAGCACCCTGCATGTGGGCGAGGGTCTCTCCTACTTCAGGCCTGCCAGGACCTCCCCAGCATCCGGAGCTGCTACCTCACCCACTGCTCACCAGCCCGGGCCAGCCTGCTGGCCTCCCAGGCGTTGTACCGAGGGGACCTACAGCAAATCCCAGCCCTGCTGCTGCCTGTGCCTAAGGAGCCACTGCTGCCTACTGATTGGCCCTTCCAGCCACTGATTCATCTCTACCACCAGGCTTCCGATGCTCCTTTGGGACTGTCTCCCACCAATACCATGGGGACAGCCATGCGTGTCCTGCAATGGGTGCTTGTTCTAGAGAGCTGGCGCCCTAAAGCCCTCTTGGCTGTGCCTCCTGCTGCCCGCCTAGCACGGCTCATGTGTGTGTTCCTGGTGGACAGTGAGCTGTTCCGAGAGACCCCAATACAGCGTCTGGTGGAAGCTCTCCTGGCCCAGCTCTGTCTGCCCCGAGTCCTGCCAAGCCTCAACCTGGATTGCCCACTTCCAGGCCTCACATCTTTCCCTGACCTCTATGCCAGCTTCCTGGAGCATTTTGAGGCTGTCTCTTTTGGGGACCACCTCTTTGGGGCTCTGGTCCTGCTTCCCCTGCAGCGTCGGTTCTGTGTCACCCTGCGCCTTGCCCTCTTTGGAGAGCATGTGGGAGCCTTGCGAGCTCTGGGCCTGCCTCTAACCAAGGTACTTCAGCCCAGCAGGACCTACCATGGGCACCCTCCATGGGGCACTCCTGGGGATGGGGAGCTTTGCTGGGGTTCATCACCTCTTGAGAGGCTTGAGAGGATTAGGAGAATCCATGAAAAGGGCTTAAATGGTATCTAGCATATAGTAGTTACTCTGTTTTGTTTTCTTTTTGGCAGTACAAGGGATTGAATCTAGAGCCTTCACACCAAACTACATTCCCAACTTTCTTTTTTTTTTTTTTTTTTTGTCTTTTTCCTTTTTATCGGTACCAGGGATCGAACTCACGACTGCCTGCTTGCAAGGCAGGCATTTATGCCTCTGAGCTAAATCTCCAGCCCCCCAACTTTCTTTATTACTTTTTATTATTAACAGTTTAGATAAGAGATTTTCTCAGATAGGCATGCTAATGCATGCCTTTAGTAATCCCAGCACTCTGGGAGGCCAGGGCAGGAAGATGTGAGTGCAAGCCCCGCCTGGGCAATTTAGTGAAAGCTTGTCTCAAGATATAAAAAAAGCTGAGTATATAGCTCAGCAGCATAAGTGCCCACCTGGCAAGTACAGGGTCCTAAGTTCTATTCCCAGTGCCACAAAACAAAACAAAAAGATGTTAAAAAAAAAAAAAAAAAAAAAAAAAAAAGCATTGGAGATGTAGTTCAATGTGAAGGCCTTCAGTTCAGTTCCCAGTACCAAAGGAAAAAAAGATGGCAACTTCAAGCCTTGATGATTTAGCAGCTCAGTAAGATCTTAAAAACCTAGCACCCGGGCATGGTGGCTCACACCTGTAATCCCAGCACTTGGGAGGCTGAGGTGGGAGGATCGTTGCAAGTTCGAGACCAGCCTGGGCTACAAAGTGAGCTCAAGGCCACCCTGAACTGCATAGCGAGACCCCGTCTTGAAAAAAAAAAAAAAAAGACAAAAAAATAAAAATAAAAAAGCTCTCAAAAATAAATAAATAAGCTCTAGTCGGGTATGGTGTAATCCCAGCACTCAGGAAGCTGAAGGGGGAGGATTGCCCTGAGTTTGAGGCCACCCTTGGCTACATAGCAAATTCAAGATAAGCCTGGGCACATAGTGAGATGCTGCCTATAAATAACTAAATATTAAAAAGGATTGGAGGTACTGGGGATGTAGCTCAGGAGCATAGTACCTCACAAGTATGAGGTTGTGAGTTTGATTCTTGCTACTGAAGAATAAAAAGGGCTGGGGATGGGGAATGAAGTCACTGCATATTTTTCTTAAGACTAGATTTTTGCCTTATAATTCTGCTAAATTTAAAAGCTATTTTAATATATACATACATTATATAAATATATCTTATAAAAAGAGAATTAGGGGCTGGGGATTTAGCTCGTGAGTTAGATCCCCGGTACTGATAGAAAAAGCCAAAAAAAAAAAAAAAAAAAAGAGAGAGAACTAAAAAGAAAAAAATACGTTTAGGAGCTAAAAAGTACATTATCTGGTAGCTGGTCACAGGGACATATGCCTGTGATCTCAGCACTTGGGAGGCTGAGGCAGGTGGATGGTTAAGTTCCAGCCCAGCCTTGGCAGTATAGCAAGGTCCTGTTTCAAACAACCATAAATAAATAAGCAAACAGACCATTGCTTTGTAGTACAATCCTGTAATTCCCAGCTATTCAGGAGGCTGAGACAGGAAGATTACAAATTCAAGGCCAGCTGAGACATTTAGCAAGACTCAGTGTGAAAAACAGGTTAGGGATGTGGCTCAGTGGTACAGCGTTTATCTAGTGCACATACATCGCTTCTTGGCCTTTTAGCTAAGATCAAGTGTAGTATCTAGCACACACAAGGCCTGGCTTTGACCTCTAACACTGGAAAAAATTTTGTTGTAAGTTTATTAAACAAGAAATACTAAGCAATAAAAATTCTCAAGAGCTCTTCGATCTGCTCACCTATGTGCTTGGGAAGGGTGAATGTCAGCTGTCTGCCTTGTTCAGTGATGCACACTCCCACCCTGCCCTTCAGCATGTCACTTCTGCCACAGTTGCCTGTGCCCCTGGAGTGCTACACAAGGCCTCCTGAAGACAACCTGGCCCTACTTCAGCTCTACTTCCGGGTGCTGGTCACTGGTGTGCTCCGTCCACGTTGGTGCCCTGTGCTCTACGCTGTGGCTGTGGCTCATGTCAATAGCTTCATCTTCTCCCAGGATCCAAAGAGCTCGGTAAGTTCTATTTGCTGATGACTAAGCTACTGCAGAGTCAGCTGGGGAGGAGGCAAGGGTGGGGCAAGGCCAATGATGGTGCCAGTCCTGGGTTTAGTGCCACCTTTCCCATTGCACTCATAGGATGAGGTGAAGACTACCCGAAGGAGCATGCTACAGAAAACATGGCTGCTGGCAGATGAGGTAGGCAGAGGCCTAAGAAGGTGGGAGATGAAAGGGCTTGAGAGGCAGAGACTGTAGTCTCATTCCCCATTTCATAAACTTTCTTCCATCTCTGCAGGGTCTCCGGCAGCATCTCCTCCACTATAAGCTTCCCAGTTCCAGCCTCCCAGAGGGCTTTGAGCTGTATTCCCAGCTGCCCGCACTGCGGCAGCAGTACCTCCAGACACTGGCCTCGGGGGTGCTCCAGGATGGAGTATCAGAGACCTAGAGTTGTGGATGGAGAGGTGGATTCATTCCCTCAGTCATGCCAGAGGATATCATATCCTAGGGGAAGGCAAGCACAAAGCAGCAAAAGACTTTCCTGGTTAAGAGTGCACTGTTTGAGCTTCGATGGAGCAGAATGAGCCTTTCCTTTCCATCTTGATACTTGGAGCTCAGGATTCTCACCCATCCCCAGCCCTACCCTGGGCCAGGAGGTTTGAATGCCATGCTGTACACTGAAAGAAATTCTTTTTTAGCCTCCCAGCTGACTTGGATTGATTTTGTTTGGATTTATTTGTTTTGGGGAGCATTTTTTTTTTTCTAGGACAGTCTAGTAGTTCAGGGTGACCTTCAACTCACAGCATCTTCCTGCTTCAGCCTTCTGAATTCTGGGATCCAGGAGTGTACTACCATGCTCAGCTGGGTTGACTTTAGTCACATTTGTTCAGAGTTGGTATGGAAGGGCAGCTTATCCCAAAGCAGAGAGGTGGTAAAGAAATCATGAGTGGAGGGCTGGGGATTTAGCTCAGCAGCATAAGCGCCTGCCTTGCAAGCAGGCAGTCATGAGTTCGATCCCCAGTACCAATAAAAAGGAAAAAGACAAAAAAAAAAAAGAAAGAAATCATGAGTGGGAAGTGAAAGCAGTCCACAGCTGGGGACAGCAAGAATGTGGGTTCTAGTTCCTGAGTGGAGCCAGGCCAGGGTAATGCTCTTGGGAATGGGGATGTTTAAAAAAGAACTCTGAGCATAGACATCCTTCATGAGGCAGCATCTATGGTCCTGTTTCTACTACCTGTGCCGCCAAGACATGAAGTCCTCAAACATCAGCTTGGCATGTAGCTGTGTTATATCCCCACCCTCATGTAGGTCCAGGACTGGAAGGAGTAAATTAGAGCATTAACTGGTTCATCTCTTCATTCTGGTAGAATTTCTTGATCATTCTTTTGTCCAAATCCTGACATGTGGGTTTACACTGTCTTCGTTGTATAGTTATAAGCATTCTGTCTGCAGAGCGCATGTGGTGCACCAGGCCTAGCCCTGTTAGTAAGTAGAGCCCGCTCCCTGGAGATGGAGTTGCTGAACACATAACTGTCCAGTAGATTTATTAAGCAGTTTCTTTACCTGCATTTGTAACAGTCCTCAATCTTACATGACAAAAATCACCTGTGAACATGTGAAAGCAGACAGAGTTTCTGAGTCAGTTCATCTGTTATGTGTTTTGTTTTTCAAGACAAGTCTTGCTAGATAGTTCATACTGTCCTTGAACTCACTATGTAGTCCAGGCTGTCCTTCATATCAATCCTCCTGTCTCAGCCTCTCCAGTGCTGGGATTACTGGTTCGTGCCACCATGCCTGGCTTGAGTCTACAGTACATCTAGAATGGGGTCAAGAATTTGCATTTCTGGGGCTGGAGATTTAGCTCAGCGGCATAAGCGCCTGCCTTGCAAGCAGGCAGTCGTGAGTTCAATCCCTGGTACCGATAAAAATGAAAAAGACAAAAAAAAAAAAAAAAAAAGAATTTGCATTTCTAACAAGTTCACAGGTGTTAACTGGTGTTGCTGTCCAGTACCAACCACAAATTGAGAATCTAGTTTTCCGGGACCTTGTAAAGTGAATCTTCACCTCATAGTGAAATATCTACTGTTAACTAGGCCATAAGTACCAGTTTTTACTAAAACAGTGTGGCCACACCTCGCTTTTTTACCCCTCTGTACTGAGGATTGAATCCAGGGGATTCTGGGTTGCATCCTGTCCCTTTTTATTTTGAGACAGAGTCTGGCTAAATTGGCCAAGCTGTTGTTGAACTTGTAATTCTCATGCCTCAGCTTCCCCAGATAGCTGCAATTACAGGTGTTTGCACCATGGCCTACCTAGCGATATTTAGTCAGACTATAAAGTTGCTAACTATAACGTTGTGTTCAGTTATCTCATATTAAGCAGAGGCCTCAGTCTTTTGTATTTACTTATTTATTTATTTATTTATTTTGGCTTTTTCATTTTTATTGGTACCAGGGATCGGACTCACGACCACCTGCTTGCAAGGCAGGTGCTTATGCCACTGAGCTAAATCCCCAGTCCCCGAGGCCTCAGTCTTTTAAGATTAGTACTTTAGGGTTAGGGATTTAGCTCAGTAGCACAAGCGCCTGCCTGGCAGGCCTGAGGTTGAGTTCAATCCCTGGTACCAAAATAAAATAAAACTAGTGCTTTAAAACCAGGCAGGGTGTGTAATCTCTAGCCATTATGGAGCCTGAGGCAGAAGAATGGAAAGTTCAAGCCCAACCTGGCAACTCAGTGAGTTAGCAAGACCCTGTCTCATTTTTTTTTTTAAGGTGGGAACATAGCTCCCTGCAAAGATGCTTGGTTCACTCCGTAGTGTGTGTTTGGGGGCAGGGCATTTTGAATGAAAGCTTGAAGACCCAAAACACAAAACACAGGTGTAAACTGGCTCTTAACAGTTCCTGGGAGCAATTGCCCATGGGATTTCGCAGGTGGTGGAAGCACCAACTCCTGCAGTGCCCTGTTTTGCCTTGCACCTCAGCCATGACTAGGCATGCTAGCACTCATGGTCGGATCTCCCCACGCCTGCTTATTACAGTAAATTGCTCACAACATTAACATGATCCTATGAACACAGAAATTCCTGTTTGTCAGTATCCAGGAGATTCCACCTGCAGCCATCATGGCACTGGAAAGTCTAAGTAGTACTTTCCATGCATGATCACGCCCCACCACCACGGGGGAAGCACTCATGGGCTCCTGGCCCAAGAAACCTAGAAGTCCCTGGAGTGCCTGAGATGTAGCCAGCCACTTTTCAGGGCACTGCCCCAGAGGAGGAGCGTATGGGACCCCCTCCCCTAGCTGAAGCCCCTAGCTCGAGCCCACCCGCTATCTTGGGGCAGCAAGGGGCAGAAGAGAGGGTGGGAGCCGCTGAGTCCGGGAGGGAGCCCCACAAGGCCAACCCCATAAGGCCTGAGTCCCTCACGCCCCGCCCCTTCCCGCACACTGGAGTCTGAAGTGGGCGTGGCTAGGCTGGCTTTAGGTCCCCAGAGTGTCTTGTGGACCGCTAGCACCCCTGTAAGCTACCGGCGAGGGCGCGGTGGCAAGTTGTGAGCTGGCAGCCTCTACCGGGCGCTGAAGGGGCGATGGGCCGCTCGAGTCGGCTGCTGCTGTGGCTAGGAGCTGCGGGTGAGTGTGGGTGCCTAATGAGTTTCCTAGGCTTAGGGACGGCGACAGTGACCGAACAGGTCACTGTAGGATGCGGGAGCTTCGGACTTTGGCGGCCCAAGCTCTCTAGTCTGTGTTTATGGGGTGTAAAAAGTCAAAGAACCGCCGGGCGCGCCCGAATCCGAATCCGAGCACACAGTTTTGGAGGAAAAGACAAACCCTGGGGTCCCTGGCCTACCTGGGGAGGGGCAACGGCACAGCCCGGCGCAGGGCAGTCCCAAAATTGTTCAGGGGCACGGCAGCCTGGCCAAGTGTCAGCTGGGTTTCTCCGTTGGAATGGGCGCTGGCTGTGGGGTATAGGGGTGTGGCTGTGAGCAGCAGGAGCTGACAGTTGAGGATGTGTTTTGTTTTGTTTTCTGGTCCTAGGGATTGAACCCAGAGCCCTAGCACTAAGCAACATACCCCACTTCTTTTTGTTATTATTGCTTTATTTTGAGACAGGATTTCGCTAAATCACTAAATTGCCCTGAATTTGCAATCCTGCCTCAGCCTCCCAGAGTGCTAGGATTACAGGCGTGCACCACGTCTGATTTGGTTAAGGGATTTTTTTCTTTTTAATCTGCCCCACCTTCAGCATTTAACATCCTGCCCTCTCCCAATCCCTCTGTCACCCTGCCACTTTTCAGGGATCATTCTCTGCTCCAACTCGGGGGCACAAGTGCCTTTTCCTCCATCCTCTCCCCCTCTGCTGCCAGCTCCCAGCCTCTGGAACCCAAAAATTACCGCCCTGCCTAGCAGACTGGAGCCAGGGTACCTCTCAAATCCTCTAGGTGAGCTCCAGGCTCCTCCCCTTTCTTTTTACTCACGTCCCCTGGGCCTGGCCAGGACCTCGAGGACTGTTTGCTCCCTCCCTGCTCCCAGGCACTGCGGGGCCTTGGGTGTTCTCTACCTGCGGGGCCAGCGGCCGGCGGGGGCCCACACAAGCTCAGTGCGACAGGGCATACGCGGGAAGCAGCGTGGTGGTGTCGGTGGAGGACTCCGGGCCGCTCCGAGGCGTGCAGTTGTGGCGGGCGCCAAGCCCAGGGCATTATCTGTGAGTGCCTGGCGGGGTAGCGCAGCGGCGACCTGCTGTCCGAGGTCCTGCAGTCGGGAAGGCAGGCCACGTGCCCGCCACCTCCCTCTTGGCGCATTCCCAGTGTCCTTGAGTGTCCCTCCTTTGGCGGGACCAGGGGAAGGGCGGCAACAGTCACGAAGCTCATGGTGGCCTGGAATCTGTAGCCAGGGGCGGCGCCAAGGGGGGCTTGAACTCCCCACCATCTCCATAAGTACTCTTGGACTCTGTAAAACTTGATTGTTTTGATGTTCAAATCTAGTTACCCATCCCTTCAGAGTCGGTTACAAGTCTTTAAGACTCTCAGATAAAAAGTCCTGGAGCCGGCAGGTCACCGACCCATGCCCAGGGCAGGGACCCAGCACCCTCTCCCGGCAGGATCTCAGCCTATGGAGCGGCGGGCGGCAAAGGTGCGCAGAGCCACCTGCCGCGGGCGCACGGTGTCTTCGTGTCAGCGGTCTTTTCCTTCAGTCGTGGGGAGCCGCTGTTCATCCTGGTGGGACAGCAGGGGGCGGACGCCTGCCCCGGGGTGAGTGGCCTGGCGGGGCAGCGGGGACTGGATGGGGTTGGGACCCGCGCAGCGTGGAGGGGCTGGGCCGTGTCAACCTTGCCCGGTGCCCGCAGGGGAGCCCGGAAAGCCAGCTTGTGTGCCTTGGAGAGTCAGGGCTAGACGAAGAGCACGCTGAGACGGAGGCGACCGAGAGCGGCCGGGGGTCCCGGCGCTGGGCGGGCGGGGGCGGCGGCGGAGGGGGCGCCACCTACGTCTTCCGGGTAGGTGCCGCCCGCCGCGCCCCGCACGCTGCACGGCCCCGCCCGTCAGCGCCCGCGTTCCTGGGGTCCCTTGGTCCCGGGGTCCCCCAGCCCGGCTCTGCCCGCAGCCCCTGGTCCCTCTGTCCCGGTCCTCCCCTGCGGCCAGAAAACGCCCCTGAACCTCCCCGGCCCACAGCAGCGCGCGGGCGAGCTGGAGCCCCTGCTGGTGGCGGCCGGAGGTGGCGGTCGCGCCTATCTGAAGCGGCAGGTCAGCGGCCGCACCCAGGCCAACCCTGAGAGACTGGAGAACCGAACGGAGGCGCCCGGGAGCGGCGGCAGAGGCGGGGCTGCAGGTTAGACCACCGGGACGCCTCACAGCTTGGGAAGGTGCCGTGTCCCCAACGCGCGGCCTATCGTGCTTCTGTCGCTCTACAGGTGGCGGAGGCGGCTGGACATCGCGGGCCACCTCTCCGCAGGCCGGCCGCTCGCTGCACGAGGGAGCCGAGGGTGGCCAGGGCTGCGCAGAGGCCTGGGCCACGCTCAGCTGGGCCGCGGCTGGAGGCTTTGGGGGAGGCGGCGGGGCCTGCACTGCAGGCGGCGGAGGCGGCGGCTACCGGGGTAGGTGCGCCCTGGATGAGCAGCCCTGAGGGTAAACAGGTCAGAGCTTTCAGGACTGGTGGGGAAGGCCCTCCCTCCTCTGTGGCAGCCCAGAGCAGGAGCTCTTAGTAAAAGCCAACTCAGTCGGGGATAATGCAGGCTGACAAGTCACCCTGGATTTTTTTACATCACAAGATTTCATCTCATTCTGCAGCAGCGGGAAGAATTTAGAGCTGACTGGGGTAGCAAACTGGCACTTCTCAAGGTGGGGCTCCCAAACCACTAACGAAATGTTTGTGAATTTCAGTCTGAGGAGGGGAATTTGGAAGATGTCTATTTGGAGCACACGAATTTCAGTTAGGAAAACTTTCAAGAGACCTAAGGCACATCATAGTGACTACAGCTGCTGCTGCTGCTTCTCCTCCTCCTCCTTCTCCTCCTCCTCCTCCTCCTCCTCTTCCTCCTTCTTCTTCGCTTTTTTTTTTTTTTTGGTACTGGGGATCTAACTCAGGACTTCGAGTTTGCCAAGCAGGCATTTATGCTGCTGAGCTAAATCCCCAGCCCATTAACAGCATATTCTTGAAAATGAGCAAGAGAATAGATTTTAGGTGTTTTCACAACAATAAAAGTTTGCTAGCCCAACACCTATAATCTCAGCACCCTGAGAGGCTGAGGGAGAACAAAAAGTTTGATCCCAGTCTGGGCAATTTAGTGATTTAGTGACACCCTGTCTCAAAATTTTAAAAAATACGTTGGGCTGGAGGTTAGTGAAAAGACCCTATGTTCAACTCAACCCCAGAACCAAAAAAAGAAAGAAAGAAAGAGAATGGTGTACATAACATATATTGATTGGCTTAAATCTACTGTTGCACAGCTTTTACTGTTTTATATTGTTATATACAATAAATATGTACATACTGTCAATTAAAAAGTACTGATTTAAAAATAAAATTCTGCTGGACATGTGGTGCATACCTATAATCCCAGCACTTGAGGCCAAGGTGCAAAGGATTGCTGCAAGTTCAAGACCAGTCTGAACTTCAAAGTAAATTGGGCATGGTGGTGTGTGCCTGTAATCCCAGTACTGGGAAAGCCAAGGCAGAAGGATCCATGCAAGTTCAAGGCCACCCTGGGCTACATATAGTGAGTTCAAGGACAGCCCAAACTCCACAGTGAGACCCTGTTTCAATGAATGAAAGAGAGAAGGAGGAAGGGAGGAAGGGAGAGAGAGAGAGAGAAAAAAAGAAAGAGAAAGAAAGGCCTGAGTTACATAGTGAGAGCCTGTCTCAATAAATAAATGCAGGGCCAGGAATTTAGCTCAGTGGCATAAATGCCTGTCTTGCAAGCATGCAGTCATGAGTTTGATCCCTGATACCAAAAATAAATAAATAATTTTTTTAAAAAGCCAGGTGGCAGACATGTCAGGTCCATCACTTTGGGAGTTGATTTGTGCGTCTTGGAGGATTGCAAATTCAAGCCTAGCAATTTAGCTATAACCTGTCTCAGAAAAGGCTATCTTTAAAAGAGATGTAGCTCAGTACAGAGGTCCTGGGTTCAATCCTTAGGCCCATCAAAAAATTATTTTAAAATAAATATAAATTCTTAGCTGTTTCAACCTACTGAATTAAAAATTCCAGATGGAGGTCCTAGCCATCTGTTTTTATCAGTCTTATAGAGGATCCTAAAATGGCCCAGAATTGGGCACCGTATGGGAAGAGAAACAGCCTCTGCGTCTGTCTGAGCTGTGCAGTTCATATGCACTTTACACACATCATCTCCGTAAGAAATGGAATGTGTGCGCACTGGGTTCCATTTCCTAACGAGGTCTTGGACCGGAGGGTTCAGGTAGGAGTGTCCCAGCCAGCCTGAGCCCGTCTTCAGGTTCTGATTCATTCTGCCCAGCTCTCCAGCCCCTCAGCATCTGTTGCTGAGCATGCCACAGTAACGCCAGGGTAGGGAAGGCCACACTGGTGAGCTTCCTAACGCTTCACAAGCCAGCTCCCCAGCTGTGAAGCAGCTGTGCCCCCATCTTATCCCCGCTCCATCTTGTGTCAAACCCTTCATCACTCATTTTCCAGGGGGTGATGCCTCATCAATTGACGTCCTCTGGGCTGATGGGGAAGATGGGGTGTCCTTTGTACACCCTAGCAGCGAGCTCTATCTGCAGCCTCTGGCAGGTACTGGTCCCACCTCTACCTCTCAGTTTGGCCCAGTCCTTCTTGTGCCTGCAACATGCCTAACTTCCGTGGCAGCCACAGGGGTTACACTGTCAGCTGCCTGGTTCTTACGAAGCACAGGAACATTTGGGAAGGGGACTTGAGATGCCAGTATGGGACATTCAGGAGTACTTGTCAAATGCCCTCTTGATACGGGACCTCTTCAAATAATTGGGGTCTCAGTGGTTCCAGAAAGGGGCGTCTGGACAGTCCCCAGGCTCTGCAATGTCCTGTGTCCTTGGCACTCCTTTCCCTAAACTCCTGGGCTAGAATTAACCATGTAGCTAGAAAAGACATGTATATCTCATACCCATGCCTACTTCCCATCCCCAACACCCCACCTTATTGGTTGTTTTACTCGAAGTCATGGAGAGCCACGGAGAAGTAGAGATCCGAAGACATCCCAGTTGCAGTCATTGCCCTTTGAAAGACTGCCAGTGGCAGGCAGAGCTCCAGCTGGCTGCATGTGTGTGTCCAGAGGGAATGAAGCTAGCTGAGGATAACATCACTTGCACTGGTGTGTCTTACCTTTGCCCCGGCTCTGACTCCTGGGTCATAGGCTGGGAGGAGCCATGGGCACTGGGAAAAATGGTTCAGAGGCCTGCGGTAGACCAGGCACTGTTGGGTGCTGGGCAGGGGGTTGGAGGTGCATTGCACACTCTGCCTTCAAGGAGCATGCAGATAGTGTGGGAGGTGAGGCGGGTACTTAGATGTAGATGTATGGATACATATCTAAAAATGGCAGTTGCTATGGGAGATATCAAGTGTTTAGGGGTTCTCAGGGAGAGGTTGCTTTTTGTCTAGGATAATTGAAGGTGGCATCTGTGTGTAACTGAGCTGAATTTTCAGGGTGGTTAAGACTAGAAGAACACAGGGGCATTGCCCTCTGGAAGTCTCTCTCCCTTAGACCTGCCCAGGTCCCCAAGCCCTGTGATTCTGATGGTGGTTGTGACGGCGACCTTGACACTGAGCCTGCTCATGGTCTGTGGGGCCCTCATCCTAGGTATAGAACATCCAGCAGGCATGGCTGATTCAAGACTGCCCCTTTTCCCACTGAACTGTGTTTTGGGTTTCTGTGGGGTCCTGGGGGAGGTGCAGTGGACACAGAATGGTGGCAGACTCCTCTGGGCTTCCAAGAGTGGGAGCAGCCCGGAGGCCTGGGGAAATCACTGCATGGAATGGGCATCTGGGGAGTGGGAGGCAGTGCGACCTGATGGACAGGGAGAGGGCCTGTTGGTTCTTCCCACTCCCAGTGAGCCAGAAGAAGTGTCAGGACCTGTGGAGGACCAGGCTGCCGGATGCTGAGCTTGAGCTGAGCAAGCTTCGAACCTGTTCCCTAAGGACAGCCCCCAATTCATATTACTGCCAGGTGGGGCTTGGCCCAGCCCAGTCCTGGCCTTTTGGGCTCCCTGAGGTTTCCCCAACCAATGTCACTCTACTCAGGTGAGTCCTCCATCTCTTCTGAGAATCCTAGCACTGTGATTCCACATCCCCATCTTGCTTTGCCACTATGGGGTCCAGCAAACACCCAAGTCAAACCCTTTGTGTTAGGAAGGTGGAGGCTCAGACAAGTGTCAGAGGGAGGTAACTTATGCAAGGTCATTTCTCTGGCCCAGTTCTAGACTAGTAAGGACTTTGGAATATGACTTTTTGTGGAGTTCCAGAGCCACTTTCCCTGCAGTGCAAAAGGGGTCACCGCACCCCAAACCCCCTATCCAGCTCTAGCCTTTGCTTGCCCTTTGTGAGCCAGTACTCACTCACCTTGCAGTTTTATGCTCTGGACATCCGTGGTGCAGAGCTCACATAAGGTCAGCTGGGCACACAGTGGGACAAAGCAATGAAGGGTTCCTAAGCCACTCCTCTCCTGTCTTCCTGTAGTGCACTGGGCTGTGGTGCCTTTGGGGAAGTGTACCAGGGACTGGTAACTGGCCTTCCTGGGCAACCCAGCCCCCTGCAGGTGGCTGTCAAGGTGAGGGGAATGGAACTTCTTGCTTGGGGTGGAGAGCAGGGCACCACAGAGAGATGATGAACGATCCTTAGAGCCAAGGTTAACTCCCCTCCCCAGTGAAACACACAATGACTGTACTGTTCTCTCCCAGGCTCTACGGAAGCTCTGTTCTCCTCGGGAGGAGCTGGACTTCCTCATGGAGGTGCATATCATCAGGTGAGCCTGGGGAAGGCAGGAAAAGCTCAGGACTACCCACCAAAATGATTTTCTCCTCACTGAGCTGAGAGGTCCCCAGTAGTGTATGGTACCCAGAACCTGCTTATCTTTTCATGTGCCCCACCCACACAGCAAGCTCAGCCACCAGAACATCGTGCGCTGCGTGGGGCTCAGCTTCCAGGCTGTGCCTCGCCTCATTCTTCTGGAGCTGATGTCTGGAGGGGACATGAAGACTTTCTTGATGGAGAGCCGGCCTAATTTGGTGAGTCCTTTTCCCAGGCCCTAGGCCTCTGTAAATCAGAAATCTTGTCCATGTGTCCCAAGACCAGTACAGACTGCCACACACTCTTTCTTACCCAGGGTAAACCATCACCTCTGGCCATGCAAGACCTGCTACAGCTGGCCCAGGACATAGCTCAGGGCTGCCACTACCTGGAGGAGAACCACTTCATTCACAGGTCAGGAGCATTTTTGGCTCAGGGACCCCTAACCCAACCCACTGCCCAAAGGACAACCCTTGCACCTGACTTAGGGAAGTACATCAGGCAGGGCCAGAGCTGAGTTCTGGCAGGTTTTTTTTTTTTTTTTTTTAATGTTTTTGTTTTGTTTTTGCCTCATTCTGCAGGGACATTGCTGCCCGGAACTGCCTGCTGAGTTGCACTGGGCCAGGCCGAGTAGCCAAGATTGGGGACTTTGGGATGGCCAGGAATATCTACCGGTGTGGTGCTTGGGAATGTGGGAAAGCTGGGCTTTTGGGGGTTTCCCAGCTCTTTCATGGTATTAAGACAGCTGGTTGTTTTCCTCCTCCCTCCTTCAGGGATAGTTACTATCGCAGGGGTGGCCCGGCCTTTCTCCCAGTCAAGTGGATGCCCCCCGAAGCCCTTTTGGAGGGCATCTTCACATCCAAGACAGACTCCTGGTGACAACACTCCCTCCCCTTGTCCCCTTCCCCGCCATGCAGCTCCTCCTGCCTCCCCTGAGGGAAGGGAAGCTTGCACCTGATTGACGAGCTTCTACTTGTTGTACTGCACCTGTGATGCAGGTCTTTTGGGGTGCTGCTCTGGGAGATCTTCTCACTGGGGTACATGCCCTACCCTGGGCGCACCAACCTGGAGGTGCTGGACTTCGTCATTGCAGGGAGTCGGATGGACGCTCCTCAGGGCTGTCCAGAGCCTGTGTGAGTTTCTAGTGTTGCCCAGGAAGAGGCCCCTGGAGACTGTGGGTGGGCTCGAACTTCCACCCCTCTTCAGGTACCGCATCATGACCCAGTGTTGGCAGCATCGACCTGAGCTCCGCCCCACCTTTGCCAGCATCTTGCAGCACCTCCAGGACTGCACTCAGGTGTGCCCAATCCCCTTTCCTTAGCCCCTCACCCCGTCTCTTTTGCAGGTCTGGAAGAAAGCCATAAATAACCAAATGACCCTTGTTCCCCACCCCATCCCCACATCACAGGACCCTGAGGTGCTGAATTCACCCCTATTGCTAACTGTGCGGCCCACTCTGGAAGAGGAAGGGGCTTCTGAGCTGGGGAACAGATCTTTAGAAGGTCCCAGGTCTCTACAACCCCAGGACCAGAGTCCAAAGACCCTGAAAAACTGGGAAGAAGGCCATCTTGGCTGCTGGCTCTCCTCTGGCCTCGAGCCCCTCAAACCTAGAGGCTTCCAACCTCAGAACCTTTGGAATCCCACCTATGGCTCTTAGAGCCCCAGAGGGTGAACACTCTGCACTGATCTTCGCAAAGACTCCTCCTGCACTACTTCCTGGGCTTCCCCGTAGCCTCTTTCCACTGCAGCCTTGAGGCATGTCTAGGCCTGTCTCAGGGTCATCCTGGCCACACTGAACTTTTCATGCTGGAAACAGCTCTAGGGCTCGGCAGAGAGTCCTGGATTCCCCTTTCCCGTGAGGGACTTTCATTTGAGCAGCTCCCAACCTTGCAGGTGTTTCTAATAAAAGCTCTTTTCACATCTGACATCATCTGAGTGGACGTGAAGGAGTCCAGAACTGAAGAAGATGGGACCAGAGTGGGAGGGAATGAGACCTGAGTCACAGAAGCTGGGTCTCTGGGTTTTATTGGGAAGGGAATCCACTGTAGTGTGGTAAGCCTGTCCAGTAGGTCTAGACTTGCAAAATGAAATTCTTTATCTGAGCCCTCTGAAGAGGTGCAGAGCCCCCTCAGGAGAGCTGGGCTGAGGAAGAAGTCCACTGTTTTCCTCCTCTCCTCTAAATTAGTGTCACCCAGCTCTGGGAATGTGGGGTTTGCGTGAGGCCAATTCCCTGTGTTGGCAACACACCCCTTGGCTCCTGGCTCTGCAGGACCAAGTAACTGCCCGCCCAGCGGGGTTTGGTCTTGCTGGCATGCACTGTGGGGTCACAGCCACAGGTCCACATTTCTCTGACTGGCAGGCCCAAGTGGCAACAGGGCCCAGCCTCATCTCTCCGCAAGGCTTGCTAGGATGCCAATGAGATTGTCCAGCCCTAGCAGATAGCCATCCTCCCGGTTGCCTTCCTCCCAGGGCCGCCGGTGGTCCAGGATCTGGCCATCTGGAAGGGGCGTGGTCTTGCCAAAATCAATCAGCCACACACCAGCGCGATGGCAATGATCATGCACGAAGAGGAGCGAGCTGCCGATCACCTGTGAGCCCCCCCACACACAGTCAGGCCGCAGCCCCATTTTGAGGAATCCCCCACACACCACACCCCTAGCACCTGAACCCACCCAGGCCTCTTACCTCGTGCTTCCTAAAAAATTCGGAGACCTCCAGGGTGTCCCGGATCTGCTGCAGACGGTTCAGATATCTTCTCTAGACAGGGTAAAGTGAGCAGGTTACCTGCATGCTAAGGGAGACCCTGCAGCCACCATGCATTTTCAGCTTGGCAAATCTGGTTGTGAGAAAGAAACAGGCCCCCAAAGGGCCTAGAGGGAAAGGCCACAAAACAGTTTTAACACAGCAAGATGAATGCTGGGGGAGGGCAGCAGATGGCACTAGAACAGATGAGCAGAAGGCACCCTTGGGTTCAAGCACTTCAGCACCTCAGAGTTCTAGGACCAGGCTCTCACCAGCACTTCCATATCTCCTTGTACAAACTCCTCAAAGACACGGGTCACCTGCTCCCGGCTTCTCGTGGTCTTGAAGTCAGTACTGCAGGAGCCATCAGCTTTCTGAAGGTGGGCAAGGAGTGTCAGGGCCCGACCCGCCTGAAGAAGAGGATCTGGCAAGGGTGGGGGTATCTCCCTGGTCCCCAAAGCATGTTTGGTTTTTGAGAACAAGGAGATGGGGGTAGGAGGGGGGTGAAGAAGGGTGGAACCACAGAGGGGCCAGGGTAGAGCAAGAACCCAGGCCGGGCAGGGCAAAGGGGCCTGGCCCACCTTGATGCCCTCAATGCGGAAGCCAAGCGTGGTGCTGGAGCTGATGCCCTCCCGCCACTGCATGTAGCGTGGCTTGGTGACTGCCCGCTGAGCGTGCTCCTCCTCAGTGGGCGCTTCGGGGTCCACCGCCAGCATCTTCTTGTACATGTCCTTACGCAGTTTGGGGCGCTCCCGGGCCTTGGTGAGCTCCTCTTCCAGGTAAGTCCTGTGGAGCACAGGCAGGAGCATGAAGGTGTGCAGGGGCCCCACCCACCACTCACAGGGCACCCCTGGGGCACACACACCTAACGCCCATCTTGCAGTCCAGCACGCAAGGCCCATCGAAGCCGTCCAGCAGGTCCTGTAGCTGTAGGTAGCTCTCGCCGTCTCGCTCCACCACGCCATGGAAGGTGGGCACGCAGCCACGCAATGCATCCCCCATCAGCCGGCCCAGGCAGTACCGCTCGGGTTCTGAGCTGCGCTTCAGGATCAGCCCGCTTGTGCCCGCCGCCTTGAAGCTCCCTGTGAAATCATCGTGAGCAAGGCTGCCCCCTCGGCCCACCCGCGCCGGCCCGTGCCCACTCACTCACGCCTGCCCACAGCACCCCTGCTCACCTGTGTGCCCTGCCAGCTGTACCCAAGAGTAGCGCTTCCGGAAGGGGCTCATGACCGGCAGGTTCACCATGGTGCGGATCTTCTGCCAGTGGCTTTTCTGAAAGCAATGGGTCCCAGTGTGCAGGTAATGTGTCAGGGAGGCAGGTGCTCCCCGTCCAAACCCAGAGGAGGCAGCCAGGGCCTCATGTGCCACGTGCCCCTTCGGCCCTGGGGAAAGATTAAGGTCTGCACACACTGACACAGAGCAAGGGACTCCAGCTTTGGGAACAGGGTAACAAGCCCTGGGTTTACTGTGGGAAGGCCCAGGTTCCCACCAGCTCCACCACTGAGAAACCGCCTTGCCTGTTCTCCTGGGGAGTTCTGTGAGCTCCAGAACTAACTACTGGTGTCACACACACACACACACCTAGTAGGTAGTTGAACCAGGACCTTCACACAGAGCTAATTTTGTTTTTACACTTTTTTTTCTTTTTTCTTTTTTCTTTTTTTTATCGGTACCAGGGATCGAACTCACGACCGCCTGCTTGCAAGGAAGGTGCTTATGCCACTGAGCTAAATCCCCAGCCCCACACAGAGCTAATTTTGCATTCACTCATTCATTTGTTTTTTTAAGACAGGATCTCACTATGTAACCCAGGCTGGCCTCAGATTCAAAGTAATCTTTCTGCCTCAGCCTCCCAAGTGCTGGGATTACAGGCGTGGGCCACCACAGTCTGCTTCCCAGCCCTTTATTTTTTTTATTTTTTTGTCTTTTTCATTTTTATCGGTACCAGGGATCGAACTCACGACTGCCTGTTTGCAAGGCAGGTGCTTATGCCACTGAGCTAAATCCCCAGCCCCCCAGCCCTTTATTTTTTAAAACAGAGTCTCACTAAATCTAGGCTGGGCTGGAATTTTTGATTCTCCTGTCTCTCCCAGAGTTCTGGGATTACAGCTGTGTCTCACCACATTTTGTTTGTTGTTTTGTTTTCTGAGACAAAAGCTCACTGCATAATCCAAGCTGGTTTTGAATTTTCTATGTAGTTTAGGCAGGTCTGAAATTGAGATCCTCCTGCTCCAGCCTCCCCAGTGCTGGGATTACACGTGCTACCTCACTCATCTGATGATGACTTTTAATAGAGCTTCTCAGATCTACAGCAGGAAATTCTGGGTAGGTCTGAGGTAGGAGCAAACATTTGCATATGTAGCCTCAGCATCAGTTTCTTCATCTATGAAATCGGGGAGGGGTCAGGCATGGTGGCACATGCCTCTAACCGCATCACTTAGAGGCTGAGGCAAGAGCATGACTAGGAGGCTCTCTGGGCTATATAAAGTGAGTTCAAGGCCAACATGAATTTCATACTGAGACACTAGGAATGACTCTTTTATACACATATAAAGTGTGGGAATAACGACACTTTCTGGGGTGTTGTGATAGTAAATGGGACTTCGGCGTGACTTAGCTCCACAATCCCATGCCTCAGCATAAAGCAGATGCCGGACAGACCTAGATCACTGATTCATTCACCTAGGGTAGAGGTGGCAAACCTAATGCATGCATGCCACTAGGCACACAGAGCTCTCCCTTAGCACATGAGCCAAATCACCCCGGCAGCTGAGCATTCAGGTTTAACTGCAGTGTTGCTACTGTGATAAATACATGGTCTGGGCTTGCAGTTTAGGAGCTCAGTCTCTAAAATGTTTGCTACCACTGGTCCAGGCCTTCAGTTCGTCTAGTTCAAGGAAACACAGAATCAGCCCTTTCCTAGGCTCAGGATAGAGAGGCTGGCTAGGCAGAATGTGCAGGAAAAAGTGGCTTAAGGCCTGTAGCCTCAGCACTGCGGAAGGCTGAGGCAGAATCACCAGTTCAAATTCAAGCCTAAGGGGCTGGGGATTTAGCTCAGCGGCATAAGCACCTGCCTTGCAAGCAGGCGGTTGTGAGTTTGATCCCTAGTACCCATAAAAAGTTAAAAAAAAAAAAAAAAAAGAGCAAACAAATTCAAGCCTAGCTGAAAAACTTAGTGGCTTTGTGAGACTCTGTCTCAAAATAAAAGTACAAGAAAAGGCTGGGGGTGTAGCTTAGTGGAGAGGTACTGGGTTTAATCCCAGTAGGCAGTGTATATGGTGGAGAGAATATCCTGGGGTTCTGGGGTGGTTAAGGTGTCAACTTGGATTGGCTCTGGGATCCCCTTTGGGGAAGGTGGAACACACTGCAGCTCGTGTGTGGGTGGATCACGGGTGTGGCCTTGGGTCCCTCATCCCTTCCTCTTGGCAGTCTTCCACCCTGCTTCCCTGCCCTGCTCTGGACCGAACTGCTTTCTCTGCCATACCCTTCCACGATGATGTCCTGGCGTTGGAGCCGGGAGACCATGGACTGAAACCTAAACAATCCCCTTAAATTGTGGGTGCTGGGTTATTGTTTCAGGGAGAAGAAGGCTGACTCGGGGACACAGCTTCCTAAGACCATCGAGCTATCCCTGGGTGCCATGCGTGCCTTGGCACCCTTCGTCATCTAGACACAGGAAACTGAGCCCTGGAAATGGGGTGCAAAGCTGAGGCCCTGGCATCTTAGTCACCACTGTAGGGAACAGAGATTTTGGGGGTAGCATTTACCTCATGACCATTGCTCTGGCCTCCAACTGATTCTGAAAACATCTTACACCCCATCCTGAGCCTGATCTGTGTTTACCCTAAGGTGCCCGGTTTTGTTCCTGTCACTATATCTGCCGCCTCCTCTTAGAAGTGCTCGCCTTTCAGTGATGTTAAGAAGCCAGCAACTGGCAATGAGGGATTCCGGGTGGGAGAGGGAGGATTTAGCAGGTGGCCAGAGTAGGGGGACAGACAAAAGGACTTTTCATGGAGAGTTGAAAGCAAAGCACTGCGTGAGGACTGGCAGGGGGTTCCAGTCCCCGCTCTGTCAATCATAGCTGAGTGAGCCTGAGCAAACACTGTCATCTGTGTGGGTGTCTTTCTTCATGGGGGACACATCAGCTGCCCTAACATGAGCCACCACTTACTGCCTGCGCACACTGCCATCAGGCACCTTCTCCTCTTGTCTCAGACAGCGCTTGCTGCTTATGTGTTCCTACCTACGTCCCCACGGTGCACCAGGGTGTGATCACGTGTCCAACCCCGGGATCTGGGGGTGTAGCCAGAAGCAGCCCACTAAAAGCATGACATCTCTTTCAAAACTCCCTTTTAAAATCTTTAAATACACACAAGGTTTGCATTCTAATGCATAATAAATTTCAGTTTTATTATAAAACTCCCCACCTCCAAATCTTCAAGTAAAATTCCAGGAAGGTGACTTGTGCACCATGCATCATCAGCGCCATCCTAGGGCTCCTTTTCTCTGGTCCCACTTAGAGCACCGGTGAGGAAGCCCAGGCATGGTAAGTGCAGAGGGATTTTACACAAGAAAATCAAGGCTCAGAGGCAGTAGCATTCACTCACTCCTTGCCTACAGATTCCCAGTCACCAGCTGAAGCGCCTGCCAGCCCTGTGCCCTCTGCATGATCCAACTGCTCCAGCACCCTCCGCAGTCTGTGCTGCCACTGTGGGGTCAAACTAGACACTAATGTGGGAGCTTTGCACTGAGTGATCTGCAGCTAAAGGATGCTGCTCAGTTCTGAGCTCTGCAGAAACATGGGACTGGCCTATCAGTTGTGGGAATGGCTTTCATAAGAAAAGCTTCAGGCAGTCTGGGGGCTGCTAGCACAATGTGGAGACCAGTGGGACTAGAACGGATCTAGTGATTGTGTACAATGAGTTCCACAGTCACCCACGTAGAAGGGGAAGCAGCTTTGGGATAGCAGAGCAAAGTGACTGCCAGCCTCCTTCCTCTTGGGGTTGTGTGGAAGCAACAAGGGTGTGGAAGAGAAAGTGGGCTTGGCTGCAGGGGTTGGGGTGGTTTGCTACACTTACCAGCATTGCACTGCTCCCAAGGAGAGGGGAAAGAGGGTCATCTACCCTCCCAACCATGCTTGTACATCCCAGCATGAGGAAAGAGCAGGAGGTAACAAACAGCTCTGTGCCCAGCACCTGAGTCCTCTCAGCCACCTTCTGAGCTTGCTTCTTTCTTTTTGGTGCTGTGGATTAAACTCTAGCCCTCCTCCTTTTTATTTTTTATTTTGACACAGGGTCTCGATAAATCACTAAATTGTTCAGGCTGGGCTTGAATTTGGAATCCTCCTGTCTCAGTCTCCCAAGTCCTGGGATTACAGACATGCACTACCATACCCAGCTTCCTGACCTTTCTTAGGGCAGGATTCTCTTGCCAGTAATTGTCAAGGTGGAAGAAGTCAGGCCAGATGTGATGGAACTCAACTGGCTGTCACCTTCCACCTCCGTGAGTTACCTCCCCCAAGGAACACAAGGCCTTCACATGTGAATGTAGCCAAAGAGCCTCTTGGGGAATCACTGGTGAGTGGGTAGGTGGGGATTTTGGTTCATGAACAACAGGGGAAGAATCTTTGAGCAACTGAGTTATTATATGGGCATCAGAAAGATTATTTTTTTGATATTACAGAGTAAAATCTAGTGCCAAGGAGACTGAAGCCTTATCCTTTGACCCAGCATTCCCTCCATGGAGCTGCTATTTGATTATCTTGGAGCAAAAGACAGGGGAGCTGACTGTGTGAGGCTCTGGTAATAATGCCCAGAGCTGAGCAGGGAGTACTATGTCTCTGTGGGCTAGAGTTCAGCTTCCAAAATTCAGCCTGCCTCCGGGCAGAACAGGCCTCCAGCCACTCTGCCAGCCCAGCACCCCCCTCCCCATGCTCCATTTGTCCTATCAAACTAGCACTCCCGTGGTAGTGGTGGTGGGGAGAGCAATCAGCTTAAATTTATAAAGTGATTTGCACCAAGGTATAAGTGACCCACGACTTCACTTTCCCATAGGCATTTGCTTTTTAAAAAGGGAGTCTGTTAACCTAAATTCTGCTCTATAATTAGTGGAAAGTAAGGTGTGGGGGTTCTGAGTACTGGAGGGACCAACATCCAGGTCTCCTTCCCTAGCCTGGAGCAAGGAAAGGAGAAAGACAGAAGCACCAGAGGGAAGCACCCTCTCTTCTGCTAGAGCCACCCCTACAATCCTTTGAAGCCCAGGGCTGCCTTGGGGCAAGCCGTCCAGCCCTTTCTTGGATTGGGGCTCATGTTCCCTTTCCACAAGAGGAAAGACTGCTGGAGAGAGAGAGCAAGGGTGCCCGGTGCACCTGCCCTGCTGTGGCTGGCTCCTGGGGGAAAAGGGACGGCGGTATCCGTATACGCCCAGCAGAAGCATACAGAGCCTGCGGTGTAAGGCGCTGGCCAACTGGGCGGCTGAGTGCATCCTTCCCAGCCGGAAGTGCTCGCTTCCTGGGGAAGCCCTAAAGGAACCCCGGGCCAACGCTGCACCGCTGCTGGATGGCCCAGGCAAAGCACAAAGTCCGCTGGAGGCCCTTCCACGCTGACTCAGGCAGCCTCTGTCAACAGTCCCCGGCTTATCTGCGCCATAGTGCCTGTTTGCCTTCGGGGAGGCCCCGGGAGCAAACTGGGGGATGGGAAGGCCTGCAAGATGCAGCCTGCTGCTGGAAGGGCACTTAGCTGCCACCTGCCCCAGGTCGTGGGGCGCCCGGGGACGCCCAGGTCCATCCATGTGGGGGAGGCTGACTCAAGGCCCCAGGAAACGGCTGCGTCTAGGTGGGGCCTTCCTCGCTCTGAGGGTCCCCACTCACGCTCTGTAACCCCTCCGGTTGCCCTTGCACCCACGCCTGCCTCTCAGGTATCAGAGATGTTAGCGAGGACGCGCCCAATGAGGAGGGTGGGAGGGAGGGGTCCTTTCAAGGCTCCACCTGCCATTGCCCTAGGGAACCTTGGTGGCTCTGGCTCCGGTATAGAGGCAGAGCAGCCCCAGAGGGTCGCGGCGGCTCAGGACTGAGCCCTGCACCCGCCCTTGATGTGGTGCGGACCGATGGGAGGTGTCCTGCTCTGCGAACATGGGTGTCACCAAGCCCACTGCCCTCAGGGTACAAGGAATCGTGTGGGTCCCAGAGTCACGGAACTACTTCACAGTCTCCCGCATCTGCTTTAAGGAGACCACGCAGCTCGGTCGGGGTCTGCAAGGCCCGGGCCGCACTGCAGCACCTGCACCTCGCGGTGTTCCGACCTGGAAAGCGGCTGTAGCTGTAACCTTGTCGGCCGGCCCGGTGTTCTGGGCAGGCCTGGAGACAGTAAAGGCCCTTGGCGCCCAGGGACTGCTCGCTCCAGACACATTTGCGTAATGTGGATCTAAGCAACTCTGCGCTGACCGCAGGCAGTTAATGCATTTGGCCTAGGTTAACCTGGTGCAGTGGTGCACGCCTGTAATCCCAGCACTCTGGGAGGCTGAGGCGGGAAGAGCTTAAGAAGTTTGAGCCCAAGATGGGCAACTTTTTGGGACCCTGTTTTTTAAAAACATAAGGCCTGGGAATGCCTGACTAAAACTTGTAGTATTAGAAAAAACGTGAGAGGCCGGGGACTTAGCTCAGCGGTCCAGCGCTTGCCTGGAAAGCGCGAGGTTCTGAGTTCGATTCCCAATATAAAGGAAAAAAAAAAAAAAAACAAAAAACAAATAACATGGGGTACTAGAAAGCTCTCCCAAAGGTGCACACCCCTGAGGGACGCGCGCTGGCAATGACTTTACCGCACTCCGACCCGTTATGCTAGGTCAAACTTGGCCCAAACATCCAGACTCCAGGCAGCAATTAGCATGTTGATCCAGCCCCTCTCTGTCTCAGTTTACCTTTCCCCCAGGCTACGTTGAGAAGTAGCAGGCCCTGACCCAGGGCCCCAAGTGGGCTGCACCCCACTCCAACTCAGCCCGCGCCCCTCCCTCCTGCGTCCACGCCTCGCGCGGGCACCGGCAGCAGAAGGCAGCGGCTCCACTCCCACTCAGGAGCGGGAAACCGTGGCAACGGCGGGGGTGGGGCCGCGGCGCCAAGAGGGGGTGGGGAGCGCGCCTCGTGCGCCCGGCTCTCTCCCAGGTTCACAGGTTCACGGGTTCGGCTGAGCCCTTCCGAACCCCCAGTCCCACCTCACAGCCCGTAGTGACCACTGCCAAGGCGAAAGCTTGGCCTGGTGTCCCTGTGCGCCCTGCAGATTCCTTCCACAAGGGGATTCGGACCCGCGGCGGAGGCCGCCGGGCCGGGCCGGGCCGGACCGGACCGGAGTTCCCGGAGGCGTCGCCCGCGCGCGACCCACACCTGCCCGCCGGTACCTGACCAGCGTCCTCGCCGGCTTCCAGCTGTACGTTGCCGCGACTTCGACTCTCGCTGTCGCTTAGCAGATCGTCTTCCGAGTCCTCGAGCAGCGACGAGGAGCCGGTGGAGGACAGCGACGAGGTGGAGAGGCGGCGCGGCTGCTGCAGGTGCGCGCCCGCGGCCGGGAGCCAGCGCCCCTCGGGCTCCGGCGGCCCGGGACTGGCCGGGGGCGCGTCCGGCTCCTCGGCCGTCACGGTCAGCTGAGGGATCGCCGGCGCCGGGGCGGCCCGCGGGAGCCCGTTGGGGACCCGGCCCCCGCGCCGCTTAGCCCCACGGGCCCGGGGCTCCCCGGCAGCGGCTGCGGCGGCCACCGCGGCGCAGCGTGCCTCGAAGAGAAGGCGCAGCTCCCCGACGCTCCGGCGCGGCGCCCGCTCCAGCCCCGGGCTGCAGGGCCCCGCGCGCCCCGGCCGCGCCATGCCGGTCGGGCCCCCGGGCAGGGTCATCCCCGGCGCGGGGCGCACCAAGCCCGCAGCCCGCAGCCCGCGGCGCGGCGGGGACTGGAGACGCGAGGCTCCCGCCGCCCGAGCCCGCCCGGGGCGGAGCCTCTGCGCAGCCCCGCCCGGGACGCGCCCCCCTCCGCCCAACCCTTTCACTTTCGTGGAGCCTGGTTGGCCCGGCGCTAGCACCTTGGGGAAGCCTCGGGGTGACTCCGCGGAGTGGCACCAGAGTCCGGGCCTGGCCCTGGCTCAGGGCTCCCCCGTGGTCCTGGGGCTGGGAACGATTCCTCCAGTCGGCTCCGCGGGCCGGGACCCTGCCTAGAGGGAAGTGCTCTTGCTCCCTGCCGGGCCCTGAGGTTCCTTTCCTGCTCTCAACAATCCCAGGCAAAGTCTTCCAAGTCTCCACAGAGTTCAAGGCCATCAGCCTCCAAAACAAGCCCCACCCCAGTTTGTGCGCCCAATAAGAGAGGGCCCGGGGCCGAGCTGAGGCTGCTTCCCATCGTTGGCCCCTGAAGCTCCCAGCTTCCTGGCGGAGGCGGAGGTGGAGCCTGGATCTCTCCAAATGTCCCAGCGAGTCCGGGATTGCGTCCCGCTGCTGGCTGGCCGCGCATAACAATCCCTTCTAGCCTCCTTCTTACGAGCTCGGGAGTTTCGACTCTTCTTGGGGCTTTACAGTTTTCATCTCCTTTAAACTAAGCATCTCTCTAGGATTGCTGTCCAACTCGCGAGTTGCTGTAAGAATAAAATTGGAGATGTACGCTGGGGTACATCTCAGTGGTAAAGCACTTGCCTAGCATGGGATGTAGGTCAGTGTGAAAGCCCTGGCTTTAATGCCCACTACTCAAAAAAAAAAAAAAAGTGTGTGTGTGGGGGGCCTATAGTGAGCACTGTATGTGGAATTAGAGACCTGAATGCGACAGCTGGTTCTGCCTATTTTATAGGCTGTACCTATATATATGAGTACTGCAGTTTCACAGCACTAAACCTAATAAAGCTCAGATAAACCAGCTGCTTTCCCCTACCCTACGAGTTCTGAGGGTTAAATCTTTATCATTGAGCTTCATCTTCAGTCATTAAATTGCCCAGGTTGAGCTCAAACTTGGGATCCTCCTGCCTCAGCCTCCTAGTGTGCTGGGATCAGAGGCATAAGCACCCACACCTGGCTCCAGTCCACCTTTTAAGGGTTCCCTTTCCTCAAAAGGAAGGCTCCGATCTACCTGGTGAGGTTCTTCTGCAGATCGTATGGAATGATGCTTGCAAGAGGCTTCTCGGATTCGGTAAGTCTAATGACATCCCCAAGTTACTTCATTTGTAAAATCTCCTAGTCCAAGTCCCACATAAGTAACCAGTTCTTGTATCAGTCACTGTTTGAGCTCCTCAAAGATAGAACTTGCCCGGCCTGATGGTGCACACCTGTAATCCCTTACTAGGAAGGCTGTCAGGGAGATCACCACCAGCTGGAGACCAGCCTGAACTACACAGCAAGACTGTCTCTAAATCTAAAAAATAAGACAAAAATTCTACAATTCAGCGCAGCTAGGTGCTAAGAGTCCACATCGAAATAGCCCCAGACCCCACAAGACGTGTAGTCCTTGGAGAACGCCGCCTACTGACTGTATGGGTCACCCGGCTACCACTTCTCTCCCAGATCCTCATATACCACCTGCTGCCTCCAGCCCCGCACCACTCAGCATGAAGCAAGACCTCCAGTGCAGAACTGGTCTCTTCTCTTAAACCGTTAGAGCCTCTCAAGTCGCTGAAAGTGTAGCTCTGTGGGAGATGTGCCCCACATTTGATGTCCAATACCAAAAAAAAAAAAAAAAAAAAAAAAAAAAAAAAAAAAAACAACAACAACACTAAAATGTTAAAAGCCTGGGCAGTGCTGGACTGTAGTGAACTGGGCACTGGGCTGCTAACCCAGCTACCAAGGAAAAGTCAGGTAAAAAATATGCTTCATGCATCAAGCACTTGCCCATGTCCTAGGACCAGGAACTGGAGAATTACCATTCCTGCGCCTGCTGGTCCTGGACAGGGAGGACACACGTAGGAACAGAGGGATGGAGAGCCAGTCTCATGGGGAACAAGCTTCACTGCAGCACCCTCCTTCCACTGCAGGAGAAGGACCTGGGGGTGAACTGGCTCAGCAAGGAGCATCCAGGCGCTCATAAAAGACCATGGCGAGCAGATAGATAAGCCAGTTTATCCTGGACCCTCACTTCTAATGTGCTATGCTCCATGTCTGTCATTAATATCTTGTTCTGCCTTGCTGGGCACCCAGGCTTATGTCTATAAATCCTAGCACTCTGGGAGATTGAGGGAGGAGAGGGACAAGCTTGAGACTGGTCTAGGCCACATAGAGAGACCCTGTCTCAAAAAAGCCTCTTATAATTCCTCACAAGTCTGCTTTACCTATCAGATGAACAATAGGAGCCCCTACTGAAGCAGGGTCTGTGTTCCCCAAATAGCTCTGATATTCTCTTTGTTGAACCAGGAATGAACTTTGAAGCAACTTTTGTTCTCTTGTATCTCAGTCCCACCCTGTTCTGGGACCCACTGGTGTGCACGGCACCACACCTGGCCTCCCCACTTTTGATGCACGAATAGAAGGGATATGGAGGAAATGAGACTGGCCCGCATGGAGGACAAGGAGGCTACCACTCATGTGCTGAAAAAAATGTGGGTTTCAGGGATGGGAGCTGAGGCAAAGCAGAACGTGCCCAGGTGTTTGTTTGTTTTCCATGCCCAGGTTTTGGTGGCTCTTAGATGGCTGTTTGAGACAGGCTAAGAGAGTCACTTGGCCTCAGGGCAGCTCTATGCAGGACCAGAATGAGGGCCTTCACACTGAGCTGTATCACCAGCTCTTTTTAAATTTTACTTCTTGCACTACTGGGGATTGACCCGAGGGCCTGCACACTGTGCTGCATTCCCACCCCTTTTTATTTTGACACAGTCTCAACAAGTTGCCCAGGATGGGCTTGAACTTGTGGTCCTCTTGCTTCAGCCTTCCAGAGTGCTGGAGTTATCCATGTGTGAGGTCCTGGAGCTTAGAGGTCTGTTTGCTTCCTGAGGTGCCTGAGCCCTCAGGGCTCACTGAGCCCCTGGGCTGCATCTCTCCTGGCAGGCAGCAACCCCAGGACCCAAGAGCTGGGCAAGGGGATGTGGCGGGCAAGGGTTGCCAGGGCTGCCCAATTCCTCTCTGTTCTGTCACCGCCAGCCAAGAGCAGAATCAGTGGCCCAGGGCAAATCATTGCTCATCCTCTGCCAGGTGCTGTGCCAGTTTCTACTTCCTGAGACACACAAGCAGGCTTCTCACCCAAGGTGTGTGGCACCTGAGGGCAAAGAGCCCTCAGCGGTGGAGAGGAGCGGGTCAAGATGGAGTGGACAGAGGGCCAGATGTGTAAGTCCTGGGCCACGCGGTGCAGGGCCCATTGCTGTACAAGCCAGGCATGCTGCGGGTCTTTCCAAACCCAGGTCCAGTACTGTGGGCAACACCTGTGCTTCCAGCATCCAGAGTGGGCAAACTTCTGTGGAAGTTGCCATGAAATGGGCTTTGTGCGTGGTGGAAAGCACACAATGAGCGCCGTTGGGTTCCTGGGGGCCCGGGGTGCATGTGGCTGAGCCAGGAGCCCGGGTGGTAGGAAAGACTGCAGCCGCCAGGCACTGCCTACTCAAGGTCCTCTCAGGGACTGGGTTAGAGAGACCAAACTGGGAGGCCCACAGGGCTTTGCATGGTCTCTCCTCACCTCCTCTTCACAGCTTGTGAGGTGGTCATCAAGTCCGGTGGCTCTGGCTGCCTCAGACACACGTGGGTATGGGGCTGGCATAGACCGCGTGGTGAGGACCACACTAGGGGGAGGCATGGGAACTGTACCCAGAGGCTCCCTGGAGGAGGTGACCTCAGAGCTGGGTGCTGATGGGGGAAAAACCAGGCTAGACTGAATGAGTGTGGCCGAATATTTTCTTTCTTTGCTTTTTTTTTTTTTGTCTTTTTGAAATAGGGTCTCTATTCAGTTCAGGCTGGCCTTGGGCTCACTTTGTAGCCCAGGCTGGTCTCAAACTCACAAGGATCCTCCTGCCTCAGCCTCCTGGGAGTGCTGGGATTACAGGGGAGAGCCACACCTGGCTATTGTTCGGTTTCTATCACTGCTCAGAAAAGCAGGGCCATCCACAACTAAATCAGGAGGGAAAAAGTCCGATTTTTTTTTTTTTTTTTTTTGAGACAGGGTCTTATTATGCAGTTTAGACTGACACTAAACCCACTACAGAGCCCAGACTGAACTTGAACTCACGGTAATGTTCTTGCCTCAGCCTTTCAGAGTGCTGGGATTTCAAACGTATGCCACCACGCCTGGCAAAATTCGGTATTTTGAAGGAGGTAATGAGGTAGTTATTGTGGAAAGTCATAACTTATTTCTGTAACTTTTTAATTACTCTTGGTGGTGTGGTGGGATGGAGCCCTACAATCCTTAAAAGGATGTGTGATGGGGGAGGGGAACAAGGGCCTTAAAGTCTCTGGCCAGATCCCAATTGAGCTGGAGGTAGCCTAGGTGGAGCAGGCCTGGGGTGGGGGGCTTTGGGGCCAGCTCCTGCAGTGCCCTGTCTCACGTTCAGGCTCTTCTGCAGCTTCTGCCCTATCCCATCCTGACCCCAACCCTGGGGGCACAGTCTTGTGCTAGCTGCCTTGATGGCCTCTTTTATTCTTGTTGAAAGATGGGAGCTTGTGTGCAGAGGAGATAGCTCAGCCCTAGGTTGACTGGACTGGAGTTGAGCTCCAGGACTGAGGGGACTTCAGAGCAAGAAATGCCACCACTAGGTTCCACTGGCCCGGCCTGGGCCCAGAAGGCAGGCTGTGGGGGCCTTCCCTGGAGCTCATCTTGGACTTCATTTCACCCAGGGGAGCCAGATTTGTTCTGGGAAAGCATGAGAACTGTGCTGAGCTCAGATTTCCTAGCTCCCTGGAGCTGCTGGGTCACAGCTATCAATGGCTACTCCAGGAACAGCCTTGAACACTCTACCGCCTCCTTCCCTCTGCCTGCTCTGGAGGTTGTCACTTCTTTTGCCCTGGAAACAGGCAACAAGTGGCTTCCTGAGGGCCCCCAGATCCTGAGGGATGAGCTAGCTGGCTGTCTTCAGCTCTATGGCCCACTGTCCCCAAAAGTCAAGCAGAGGGAGTCAAGGGTAGAAAAATGCAGTGGACAGATGCTCTTGAAGGCTAGATCCCGGGGTTTCTCTTTCCAGCACCAGAGGCAGGCTTGACCTTGGTTATCCTCATGACTGTCATGTTTGACCTGCCACATATGTCCATGGGGGATCCTTGCTTCCTAGTTAAAGTACGTCTGAAAGACCAGCCAGCTTCAGCAGCTAGGGGTGGGGGCACACTAGCACCTCCTCCACAGCCCCTCAGGCCCTGGGCTCCAATGGCAGCAAACAGGAGCAAAGGAACTGTGCAGGGGCCAAGTGCAAGCTGTCAGGACGGAGTCACTAGGAGTAGGCAGCCTATTAGGTGCCTCCCCTAGGAAAAGCTTACAGAGCCTTACCAAGATAAAGTGAACCAAGCATGAGGTCTCCCTGGGTTTAGGCAACTGCCCTAGCAAGAGGATTCTGGGCATCAGTCTACTGCAGTCACCAACACCCACTTTTACTTTCAGGGATACTAGGCTGAGAAGAGGAAGGAAAGACACAAAAAGGAGGCTCAAGAGAGGCTCAGTCCTCCAAGAGGACTTTCCAATTTCCTTTGGGAGGTGCCACTCAGGATGCAAACCTTGGACTAAATCTGAATCTCCCTGTTAAAATGGATCAAGTTTATTTATAAATATCTGTACAATTTAAGTGACAAGTCAGGACTTCACAGAAATAGAAAACAAGAGCATTCTTTCTAAAGGGAAGCTGCAGACATCAGACTTTCCCTGCACCTGTTAGAAGCAATACACAAACAGACCCACACGGAATGAGCGAGGCATACAGGCATGGGCCTTCTTGCTTCTACGAAAACAAAACAGCCTTGGGTCCTATACCCAACACCGAAACCACGCGGGGTGGGGCCGTGAAGGGATCACTGGGGCAGGTCCTCTCCAACAAATCCCTTGACCAACCAGGAAGGCCAGCTGGGGACATGCTAGTGTCTGGTGAGTCCCTGCCCCAGTGAGGCTACAGCGAGTCCTCGGTTCCGTAGCATCCGAAATGCCTCACTGCTACGCGCTGAGTCCATTTTGGGTCTTCTTTGGCTGGTTTCTCTCCCACTGTGTGCTTTGGCCTCAGAATGAAGCTTTCCGTGGCTGCAGGTGAGGAGGTGGTGGCAAAGTGGTTACACTGTGATGCAGTTTTAATAAAAATTTTATTACACAGCCATAATGTAATCAACACTTCTCCAAATCCAAATGATACTAAATACAGATCTACATGGTGGATCAGAATGACTCCAGCGAGTTATATGGGTTCTATGATTTTATGTCGTTTGAAACCAAGTAGAAAAAAAGTCCGAGTTTGACATGATAGAAGAGGTCCCGGCAGCCCTGGGACTGCGGAGCCCAGGCAATGTTTAACAGTCTGTGATTCCACATTTACACAGTCTACAAAGAGCTTCGGCCGATGGACTCTTCAAGTATATATGGTTTTAATGAGTCCATCACCACTCCTCCTCCCAGCCACCCTGAGCACAGCTACCGCACAGCTGTGCTACTCACATTTACCAACTTTACAGTCACAATACGTCTTGAAAACCATCCACTGCCGTTTTAAAAATAAAAAATGTAAACTAAATTAAAGCAACACCGAGGCTCTACTAAACCCAGAAGTGTTATCAAGTTCATTTTTATGTTTAAATACAATGTAACTCCATGATTTCCCATCAACCCCCTTCGATACAAAAGTAGAGTGAAGAAGTACAGAGCAGAGCGTCTAGTCCTCCCCTCTGGAAATCAGCAGCTCCTGCTGTTTCTTTAGTTCAGTTCCTGATATATATAGTCAGCTGTACTTTGTTCTGAAAAGATTTGTTAAATGCCACTTTTATTTACACTTGGAGCTTTACACCTGAGAATGATTATCGAGCAGTCAGCTTATCTCTCTTTAAACATTCCCTAACGACACACGCTTCTTTACTGGCTTCCCCCAGCCACACCATATACACGCTTACCATGTAGCTACGCAGACACACAGGCCGCTAACATTTGCAACCTAAATCTTTTTGTGTTTGCTCTCCACATTCATGTTGGATAATTTCTCTTAAAAAACAAAACAAAATGGTATTCTCGCCAAAACAGAATCACCAGGAAGAGACAGGCACACACTCTGTGTTGGGCTGAGAAGCTGCAGGCTGGACCCCCGATGGGGACGCCTCTGCGGCTTCCCTGGGCTCCCTCCCACCAGCGTGACACAGCCTGGGCTTTGCTCTAGGGTGGGGAGGGGGAGGAAGGTACAGCTACAGCAGTCAGGCCTGTTTAGTAAGAAGAATCACATTTAATGAGTTTCTTTCTTGCAGTTTCAGATGCTAAAGTACAGCTGAAAAAAATCTGAAACAGCTATAGACTCATGACAGACTGATACAAAGAGTACTGCATTTTTAAAAAATGATAAAAAAAATCCACACTTACACATATACACACGCGCTCTCTCTCTCAAATTAGACCCCCCCTCCCCACAAATGTACACTTTTTGGAAATTAAATTGGTTTTGAAAACCCCTCTTCCACAAAGACAGGAAGAGGAGAGCAATGAGGAGAGGAAGCAGGGCTGCAGGTGCCCAGTCCCTGCTCCCTCTGCAAGGGCCAGTGCCAATGCTCAGTGGCTGGGTCTGGGGCAGCGTGGAGGGGACTGACCCACGCCCCTGCTGTGGCCACTGAGGGCTCAGCAAGGATCCCAGCTCCATGGTAATACTGAATGCGTGCAGAGTGGCCAATGAATTGTGCTGGTTAAAAAAAAGAAAGGCAAACACAAATCTAAAGACATGGAAAAGCTCAAAAGAGCTCAGATCCACCCTGGGCGGGCCTGAAGTTGGTGGGAGATGGTGCAGACAGGGAGTTTATACAGCAAATGGTTTATATTACAGATGGCTGGCAGTTCATGGAGTCTCTTCCCAGTTCTGTTGCTGCTCCAGCCCAAAGAGGGCAGATCAAAGGGGAAGAGGAAAGCTGGGAACTGATGGGCATGCGGGGTTGGAAGCAGCAGGCTGGGCTCAAATCAGCCCCCGTCGCTTTTTGTAGTCTTCTAAGTTCAGAGATCTCCTTGGAGCCCCATCCTTGGCAGGCGGAGCCTTGGAGGTGATCGCCAAAGCCTTTGACTCTGCAAAAGAGGAGTAACCACATGGGAAGGCCGGGAAGCTGCTGCCGCACTGCTTTGGTCCTCGCTCACTCCTCCTGCCTGTGCCCTCTCACACCCAGCTGCGGCCAGGGTGGCCCTGGCCTGAGGTGCACCCCATCTCTTCCCGGCATCAGTCCTCAGCTTTTGACACCGCCCCGCCTCCCATACCTGAGCTGGGGACCTGGAGGTCGATCTTCACATCAAAATCGTGCACTTTGAACAAGTCTTCTGAGAGGTCACTGGCTGACTTAGAGTTCAGATCTTTATCCTTCCCTTGACCCTGCAAGGAGAACAGAGCTAGTCAGAGGTGTAGCCAGCCGTGGCCCAAGTGCTTGCATGGGCTCACGGATTTCCTCACTGAAGGACTTTTTGCTTTTCTTCTTCTTTCCCTCCCCTTCTTTTTCTAAGGGAGGGTAGAAGGGCCAAGATAAACACCTTCCTTTCTGAAGCCTTTTCGGGTTTCAAAGTGAAGAAAGGGAAGACTCCTGTCTGCAATACAAAGTAGGAAGGGAAGCTGCCCCTAACTTTGAAACAGGCTCTCACTGTGTAGTTCAGACTGGCCTTCAGTTCACTATGTAGCCCAGGCTGGCCTCAAATTCAGTGATTCTCTTGCCTCAGCCTCCTAAGTGCTGGGATTGCAAGCATGCACCACTACACCTGGGAACAAGTTATTTTTAAATGTCATTTCTATTCTCTTGCTCACTGGGTACTCTGTAAGACAGGTAAGGTTGGAAACTTTTGTTCTCTAGTTTTCAAGGCTGATTATTCTGTGTTTAAGACTTCTTTTCAGGGAAAAGGGGAAATATAAATTTAACTTTTTCATTTCACTAATGCATCAAGAACAGGAGTCAAATAAGCCACTGCAGCCAATGATGGTGTCCTCTGACCAGAACTCAGAACCCCTGGGACAGCTGGGAGCCACAGAAGACCTCAATCAGGTAGTGCCTGCTCATCCTACGCGTCCTGCAAGGCAGATGGGTACACTGTTGTCCCAACTTCACACGCGAGGAAGTCTGCTGCACTGGTCCAGAAGGCAGGTGTCAAAGACACAGTGGCCCTAGGTAAGCAGCAGTGTTGGGCTTAGAGTTCACACTGTCTGCTTAAAACTCAAAACTGCTGAGTACATCTGCAAGTAACTGAGATGCAGAAGGGACTACAGGCAGGATTCCATGTTCCAACAGGTGGGAAAATGAAGCCCAGGCCAGCCAAGGTGCACCCTGCAGGTCCTGGCCGGCAGCCCAGCTCCGAAGCCACAGGGTGGCCCTGCACTTGCCTTGCTCATCTCCTTGGGGGCATCTGGTAACACTCCAGAACCGTACTTTGCATTTAGCTGAGCCAGGATGGCAGCTTGGACAGCTGGGTCCCTGGACTGAGAGAAAAACATCAGTTATTTTGGAGGCTGTCCGACATTCAGAGTTGGGACTATCCACCGCAGGGCCTGTCTAACCCTGCAAGCTTGCAGTGCACTCAGCGGCGGTTCACTGGAGCTTCCTCAGGCAGCAAAACAGGGCACGAAAGGTTAGAGCTAAGCCTAGCCCAGCCAGGCTCAACATCCATCACCTGAGAATCTGAAATCGAAAATGCTCCAATTCCAAGAACTTTTGTGCACCAACACAGTGCTCTAACTAGAAAATTCCATACTTGGCTCCACATGACAAGCTGAAGTCACACTAAAACGTGATATAAATTACCTTCAGTTCATGTATGTATCATGTGTATGAAATATAAGTGAATTCTGCATTTAGACTTGGGGCCCAGCCATTATATATATACACGGATATTCCCAAATCCAAAAACCCCTGAACTCCAGAACACTTTGGTCCCAATTATTCTGGAGAAGGGTTACTCAAAACTCTTCTGCACTGCAAGCCCACCCTGGCACAGAGGGGCTGGCCCTGGCCTCCTACAAGTTCATGCCTGTCCTTACTACGCACATGCCCTGCAGCAAAGTGAAAAGGGCAGTATCCAGAGCCGAGAGCTTGAGGCGAGCAAATCCCAGCTAGCAGACCTTATTTTTAACTTCTCTATTAACTTCCTAATGGGAGGCACTTTGCGTCCTAGAATCTGGGTCCCGCCAGAAGACATCCTCCTCGGACACTCACGTTAGAGACGATGGTAGGCTTGCACTGCCGCCGCGTAAAGGGGTCCATCTGTTGGTTCCTCATGTTGTGGCTTTCAGCCTGAAACACACAGCACGCATCAGGGAGAAGCCTACCCCTCCTCACTCATGCGAACTTAAGTGTGATGACACCTCTGCAAGGGACTGAACGATCAGGAGCCTTTTATAGGCACTAGAGCCGAGAGGAGCAGGAGTCACACAGCAGACACTGATGAGGTGAGTGACTGTGTGGGGAGCCCAGGGTGGAAGACTGCTGCTTTCCGTCACTCACTGGGGATGTGGGAGGATGTGTGGCAGGCCACGTGCACCTGTGTGCACACGTTATCTTCACGACTGAAACGGACACCTAGGCAACACATGGCCAAGATTTCCTATCATTTCATCTGCGTCTTTGCAGGGAGCCTGTGAAACTTCCTTACTCACCACCAGAGCTTTCTCAGACTCCACGATGTTCCACTCGCGATTCCGCTGGTTGATGTAGCTGTGAGGGAGGGAGAGAGGGCATGAGAAGCGGGCTGTGAAAGCAGGAAGGAGCCGATGGCCCCTGACAGGTGTGTGGACCCTGAGTGGCAAACTGGGCACCTGGCCACGGGCTACCTCCTCATTGTTGCTGAGGGGAAGCCCAGGCAGAAGAGGCTGGGCCACATACCTGATGGCAGATATGTTCTTGGTCCGCTGGCGGTCCAGGGCCTCTGCGCGCTCCTCCAGCTCATTCAGCTGGTCTTGGATTTGCTTGGCTTTGTCCTGATCTCCCAGGTCCTCAGCCATGGCCTGCACAGAGACAGGTGTGACCTCCGGCCGGCTGGCTCTGTCTCGCAGATGCCCTCACTCCAGCACAGGCAAGGCCCGCACGTGATGCATACAGCACCAGAGAGGGGACGGGGCAGTGCAGAGTACTTCGGAAAGGTCTAATTCTTCACAGCAGTGACACCTTCCTGCATGGCCCCCGGGCTCTGCAATATCAACCTTAAACCCAGCACATGGCTAAACTAAAGCTGCTTCATCTGGAGGTCAGGCATGGAAAACCACCCTCTACAATGTCATTTGTTCAGATCCAGTGCTGGACACTCGCCTGGGGAGTGGGATGTATTTTAAATAATTAATTTCCTTTTTTGAAACAGTCTCACTAGGTTGGCCTCAAATTCGTCGTCCTGCTGCTTCAGCCTCCCCTAGTGATGGGATTATAAATGTGTGGAACCGTATCTAGCTCCTGAGTCGATCTTATAAATGAACTAAAGTAACTGGAAAGTAAGCAGATTGGAGCAAACAAGACCGATTTCTTTTTCTTTTCTTTTCTTTTTTTTTTGTCTTTTCCCTTTTTTATCGGTACTGGGGATCGAACTCACGACTGCCTGCTTGCACGGCAGGCACTTATGCCGCTGAGCTAAATCCCCAGCCAACTGATTTCTTTCTTTTTTATTTTGGTACCAGGAATCAAACCTAGGACTTTGTACTTGCCAGGCAGGTGCTTATGCCACCAAGCTGTATCACTGGCAACAAGACCAATTTTAATATAAGGAAAAATGCTCAAGGGATGCCACCCAGGTAGCAGGAAGGGACTATGTTGCTTATAATCAGGTCAAGACCTTTCTCCTAAACCTGCTAACCACAAACTTGGCAGAGGTTGGAAAAGACTGATTTTTCTGGGGTACAGTAGCGGATGCCTAGGGCCGAGGCAGGAGGATCTCAAATTCACTGCTAGCCTGGCCTTAGGACGAAGGCCCCTGGTTCACTCCCCAGTCCGTAACAATGCACTGGATTTCCTCTTAGAGGATGGGCAGAGGATGGAGCACAGGGCCTTACCTTTTCCTTCAGCAGCTGAGTTTTCTTCATCGCATAGTTGGGTGGAGCTTTTCTGAACCTTTCTTTCTCTTTTACAATCTGTACCGGGGAGGAGATACCAGCAGTGAGCTATTCCCAAACTACTATTTGTAGACAGGCTATGCAACCCCACTTTGGAGGCAATCAGCTAGTTTAGCAGGACTGCTCCTCCTGCAGCACGGCCAAGTGAGTGCATTCTGAGGACTGCTATGCTGCTGCCAAGGTCCCAGTGGTTCTTCTGGGACAGTCTGAGGGCTGTGCACAGAGAACAGAGCAGCTCAAAGGCCTGGCAGTGTAAGGCAAGCCACTGTCCAAGAGGACGAAGGTCAGTGCTTTGGATAAAGAATGGTCTAGAAGATGAAGCCTAGCAGAATGCACACGCCTTGGACTTGAACGAATCAGGTCTGTGTGGCTCTATCTGTAAGCATCGTTCAGAGAAACCCCCAACTCCAACACGGCAGCAGGGTAGGTATTCCCTCGCCTTCACGTCTAACTGAAAATGTTAGGAAAAGGAAAGCAAACCATGGCTCTGTAATCCAATGAATGTGATAAAGCTCCAGGCTCTGGGGTACCAGGTTTCTTACCTCTTCAATGTCCTGATCATTAAATTTGTAATTAAGAGCTTCTTTAATAGATAATTCCTTTTTGTTGATTTCATCGAGAGTGGGCAACTGCATGCCAGCAGAAAACATCTGCACGGAAACACGGCAGGAAAGCATTAGTGAGAGCACGAGACAGCGTCCGTCTCCACGCGCACCTGCTGGCAGCCTTGCCACTCACCGCTTCCTTCCACTTCATGAACTCACTCTCAGTGAATTCCTGGTTGGAGACAAACTCGAGGCGGAACACTCGTTGGTCACTGCCGTGCCTGCACAGGGAGAGATGGCTAAATCGCTACGACGCCCCGGCTGGCGCAGACTTGCGGTCCTCCTGCCCCAGCCTCATGCAGCGCTGGATTACAGGTGAGTGCCACACCTGGCCCAACTGTCTTTTTAAGAAAAGCTGGGAGGACAAAGGGGTGGGTGCGGGAAGGGAGAGACCGACACTAACAAGTCAGACTGGAGGCCTGCCAGCTCTACTGCTGGTTATTTGCTGTGCAGTCCTGGCAAAGTATAGTAATAACTCTGCTTGCCAACACTTCTGTTTGCAAACAAAAGCGCTTGACAAAATCTTGCTTCCATTCACAAATTCTGCATGGGGTGACAAACCTGACCACAACCATCTTTCCCATACAACTGCAAATACAGTCATCCTCTCCCAAACTGTAAAACAAATCAAGTTCATCAACTCAGGCGCTTTTTTAATAAACGGTGCTGGAAAAACTGGCTTTGCACATGCTGAAGATTAAAGTGGGACTCACATCTTTCACCATGCACTGAACTAAATTCGGAATGGATCAAAGATCTAAATTTTAAAACACAAACAATAAAATCTACTGGAAAACAAAGTAGATGAAACTCTTGAAGACACAGATGTAGGCAAAGACTTTATGAATAAAACCCCAACTGCACAGGAACTGTCACACAGAATCAACAACTGGGATCTCATCTTTCTCTGTTTTGTACCGGGGATCGAACTCACTACCTTCCACTTTGCCAGGGGGATGCTTGTGCTGCTAAGCTAAATCCCCAGCCTGGATTTCATCTTTTTAAAAAGTTTTTGCACAGCCAGAGAAACCACCAACAGAGTGAAGAGACAGCCCACAAGGTGGGAGAAAATGCTTGCCAGCTGTTTTTCAGACAAAAGACTACTATTGAGAACATATAAAGACAAACATATAACTAAAAAAAAAAAAAAAAAAAAATCAGTCTTCTCAAATTTAAAGACCCAGTCCAAAAATGGACATCTGAAATGAATACACACTTCTCAGATGAAAAAATATAAACAGTAAATAAATATGTGAAAAACTGTTCAACAGCACTGGTCATTCAAGAGATGCAAGTAAAAACAACAATGAGATTTTACCTTACCCTAGAAAGAATGGCTATTATTAAGAAATCAAGCAATAACAAATGCTGGAGGGGCTGAGGGAAAAAGGAACTCTTTTCCACTGCTGGTGGGAATGCAGACTGGTGAACAATTGTGGAAATCGGTGTGGAGATTCCTCAAAAAACTAGGATTGGAGGTCTCATTTAACCCAGCTATTGACCTGCTGGGTATCTTCCTAGAAGAATGAAAAACATCACATGATAGTGATATATGTGCACCAGTGTTTATAGCAGCACAGTTTGTAATAGCCAGATCTTGGGAACAACCTAAATGTCCATCAACTGAAGAATAGATAAAAAAGATGTGGTAGCCAGGCGTGGTAGCTCACACCTATAACCCCAACACTTGGGAGGCTGAGACAGGAGGATCGTTGTGAGTTCAAGAAAAGCCTGGGCTACAAAGTGAACTCAAGTACAGTCTGCACTGCACAGAGAGACCCCCTGTCTCAAAAAGACAAAAAAAAAAAAAAAAGATGTAGTATTTTTATGCAATGGAGTACTACTCAGCCATAAAGAAGGACAAACTTGAGACTTTATATCTAAATGGATACAACTTGAGATCATGCTCATTAGTGAAATAAATCAGACATGTATAAACATCACATTTTCTCACTCGTGAGATACTGAAAGCAACTATGTACATAAAAGCTGGTTAAACAGTTATATTACTGATTTCTCTGAGCTCACAGAAGAGAAAGGTTTGACAGTATTGTTCAGAGGATTAAATGTAGATATCTTGTATTCTAAGGAACTGATTTGAAGATAACAATGTGCAATATATATACCATTGTTACCCCCTAATTGTTGTGTTTTTAAATTTTATTTTTTTTCTCTTTAAAAAAACAAAAAGCCCAGGATTTAGCTCAGTGGCATAAGCACCTGCCTGGCAAGCACAAGGTCACGAGTTCAATCCCCGGTACAAAAAAAAAAAGAAAAGAAAAAAAAAAAGAAATCTAAAACAACAACAACAAAAAAAAACTGAGGCACTACGGTACTTCCATACTTCCTGTGTGGGGTCTTTAGAATTCTCAGGTTCCAGGAGGGTTGGATTTCTTTTGAGACAAGTTCTCACTACGTAGCCTACGCTGGCCTTGAACTTACAGTGGTCCTCCCGCATCAGCCTTCCAGTGCTAAGATTACAGACACAGGCCACCACACCCAGCCAAGGCAGGGATCTGGTGTATCTGTTTTATTCTCTCCTTTCTCCTGAAGCCTGTAACAGTGCTTGGTACACAGTAAACATTTAGTAGCTCAAACAGCACTGGCCGCAAGGCGCTGGTGGGGTCACTCGGGAACCCTGCTGCAGCGGTCCTACACTGCACAGCCTGGCTCCCCCACGGGAGAGACTGGGGTCTTCCCTCCAGGCAGCGACAGTCCCCAGGCTGCCCCCTCACTGTGACAAAACCATCGCGGACGGCAGGGCCTGGGGGGAGGGACTGAGGCTGCGCCCGAAGCCCCTCTTACCGCAGCTGCAGTCCTTTGTTTGTTCTGGTGCCACCCAGCTGGTAAACTTTGGCAGTTTCTACAACACCTGTGATCTCAGCGACCTAGGACAAAGCAGAGCATTGGTCAAAAGCAGACTCTCACTGCTTCCCACATCTTTCTGACACTGGCCCCACTACCAGGGCACAGACAAGTGCCTCATGCTGAAAGGAGCCACAGCTGGCAGATGTTTGGGCCTGATCTCAGGAAGAGGCTTCTGAGGGACAGGCAGGGCATAGGAGGTCTCCAGCCAGGGCATGATGGCAGTAGGCACAGAGGTCCCACCAGACACTTCCCGCCAGCTAATCCCACCTCACTCCGGGATGTACTCGGGCTTGAGGTCCTTTTTTTCTTTTGAGACTGGGGACTCACTATGATGCTCAAGCTGGCCTTGAACTCCTGGGCTCAACATATTCTCTTACTTTAGCTTCCCAAGTACCCAGAACCACAAGTACCTGCCACTGTGCCTATCTCTAGGGGTAGATTTATTTTTATATTTTGGTGGTGGGGGTATGGGGGTTGCTGTGCTAGAGATTGAACCCAAAGCCTATCACTGAGCTCTAACTCCAGCCCAGAGCCCCATGCAGGGACCAGATTTTATTTTTTATTTTATTTTATTTATTTATTTTTTGGTACTGGGGATTGAACTTGTGATCTCATGCTTGCCAGGCAGGCGCTTACATGGCTGAGCTAAATCCCCAGCTCCTGGACCAGATCTTATTTTATTTATTTATTTATTTATTGATTGATTGATTGATTGATTGATTGATTGATTGTCTTTTTCATTTTTACCGATACCAGGGATCGAACTCACAACCGCCTGCTTACAAGGCAGGTGCTTATGCCTCTGAGCTAAATCCCCAGCCCCAGGACCAGATTATTAACCAAGCGTGAAGATCATGGACACCAGTTTCTGTCGCCCAGCTTTCTGGAATGTGGCATCGCTATTAGCTATCATACAAGGAGGTAAGTACATTAAAATCATACAACCTAGCACCGAACAAACAACTATATCCCAGCCATCCACTAATACAAGTAGCACTAGAACCTACAACATAACCTGTATAAGACTGGAATTCTTTCAGTTTTAATTTTTGGTACTGGAGATTGAATACAGAAGCTTTGTACTCAGCTACATCCACAGCCTACCTTTCCCTTTTAAATTCTGAGACAGAGTCTTACTAAGTCACTAAATTCTTAAGCTGGGCTTGAACTTGTGATCCTCTTGCCTCAGCCTCCCAGAAGAACCACATGTGGCTGTTTTCTCTTACCTGCTCTAGCCTAGCAGTCACTTGGCATGTAAAATGGAAAATTTTTTATTCATTTATTTTTCAGTTGAATAAACCTAGATTATATAACTCTCAATTCATAAGCATTTCCTTCTCCCTTTTTATACTGAAGGAGGGGCAGAGAAAATGATCCCAAATCCAAACCCACTATTCTCTGAGGCTCCCTGTTCTTTTTGGTAGGTCACAAATAATCTCTGATCACAAGCTTGTACTGTTCTAGGGCACCTCAAGTGGAATCTGTTTTCTAGTCTGCTGGAGCTGGGATCTTTTCTCCTCCTAGGTACTGTGGCTTGAAGGCTTAGTCCCTAGCTTAGCACTACAGGGAGGCAGCACATGTGTGAAGATGTGGGGAGGCGGGAGGCTGCAGGTCATGGTGGTGGGGTGCGCAAACCCTGGTCTCTTGCTTTGTTTCTCTCACGTTCTTGCCCTCCACAGCGTGGATTCTCTCCGCTGTGTCCCTCAGACCTTTATCCTTTTGATAAAGTCATTATCTATAGAGTTTAGTAAGGAAGGTGACCAAGACACAAATGGTGGCAGAAGAGTGACATATTTGTTCAATAATTCCTACATCCAGCAGAGAATCATTGTAACAAAGAGAGAAATTCCTACCCGGTAAACTGGTTTACTGTTGTGGTTTCCAATGCCGATCCGTACAAAACATCCTGTGACAGTTTTAGCAAAGAAAGGCATGTGACACCAGCGCTCTAGCTTATGCCGTGATAATCGCACCCGATTCAACTCTTCAGGCAAGGAGACTGGCTGTGATTTGGGAGGGATCTCTTCTTTCCTGCAAGGGACAGAGGGGCAGGAGAAATGTTCATCACAAAAACGGAACAAGACAGATATGTACCATCCAATTCTTCAGCCATAACTAGGAGGAGAAGTAAAGCTCCAGAAAGGAGTCTGCTCTTGACCAGAGTGGATGATGGCAGGGGATGGAAGTCACCTCCCCCTGGGCCCAGATAAAACGTCCCCTGCTATGGAAAAAGAAGAAGTCCAGCACCTCAGGACACTGAGCTGAGGCGGAGACCCTGGAAACTGCACTAAGGTCCCCTCAGTGCCCGCTGGGCCTGCCTTCCAGACCAAGGGTACACGGCTTACTCTTCCTCCTCATCAGATGAGGATGTTCGGGACGAGCGGTCTGACTTTTCACTGGACTTGTCATCTTCTTCCTCCTCCTCATCGTCAGAGTAGACCTCACTGGTTTTTAATGGCTGTTTTTTGGCGAGGAGCTCAGCTAGAAAGAGAGGGGAAACATGTACTCATCTCTCTCGCTCACGTTTTTCCTAGAGACAGTGTCTGACTATGTAGCCCAGGCTGGGCTCACAATCCTTCTGCCTCAGCCTGTCAAGGCATGCACATGTCCAACGCATCTTTCACCTTTAAAGAGAAACTTAAACAGGGCAGAGGACTCAAAATGACACCTCTACCTCTTTGGAGCCTGTGATAACACATATCACAGCAAGTCACACCAGACTTAAAATCATCTAGGCCTTGAAGAACAGGAAGCCTGGAAGGGTATTACTAAGTGGGCACAACACCATGGACAGTTTGTCTTTTATTGCACTTGAAATACTGGAAAATGGGCGGCAGCATGGAATTATGATTGTCTTCAGAGAGTTTCTGAAAAAAAAAAAACAACCCTTTATTTTGAATTTGTAACACTATCTATAATAAGAGGGCAAAAACAACCCAAATGTCCACAATAGGGAGTGGCTGTTATACCCAGTGAACACCTATGCACATAAAAAAGGAATGAGACATGATCCGACATTCTGAGTCACAGTAATTTTTCTTTTCTGGCCTCAGGTGTGCTAGGCAAGCACTCTCTCACAGAGCTATGCCCTTGGCCCCAGAAACAGCCACACAGTAAACATTTCAGGTGTGCTGTGCATAGTCTCATCATCTCAACCACTCAACTGCAGTTTAGCTCTGCGTGGTTTTTCCTCTGGATCCGCAGACCGTGGTTAGTAGATTTGACTTTAGAGCCATACATTTTACATAATCATAAGACAAAACACTAACAGTAAGTCATCTCTAAACATCAAAAGCAAAACGGCTCTTTCCACTGATGATTCTACTGTCTTCCATTGCCAGGAACTACTGCCCCTCTGCCAGGCACCACCCTGCCTTGGAGCCTGCTAATTATGGACGGAAACCTCTACAAACTGGAGCTAAATAAGCTTTTCTTTCTTTAACTTTGGGTGTTGGGTATTTTGTCTTAGCAAGAGAGAACCAAGACAGAATTTGGTACTAAAGAAGTGGGTTGAAGTGAGTGAGTCAGGTTTACTATACGTGACCTGGAGACTTTGGGAATGGCTTGTGGGAAGAATTTGGAAAGGTTCAGAGATGTCGGCTGAAAAAGTAGAGCTAGAATCCTTAGGCTATTATTCTGTATGGGAGATTCTGGTCAGCAGAGTTCAGAAGACCAGAAAGCTGATAGAAATCCTGCTGGTAAAGACCAGACTCAGGTTTCTGCTGGGAAAGACTGTCCTGGCTGTTGGGTTCCAGACGATGTGTGTTATGGCTTGGCAGAAAGTTTGTCTGCTTTTTTCTCATGTCCAGAGACTTTGTAGGATGACAGACTAATCTGGTAGAAGAAATTTCAAGGCAGTCTAATGTTGAAGTGGTGGCATAGCTACTGCTGATGGTTTTTAGCCAGATTTATGTGAGAATCAAGAGCAAAGAGCCCAAGAGAATGATATAAAATATTGTGAGTTTAACCACAAAGGAAGCTGTACTAAAGCTGTGGACTTCAGAAACAACAGAGGAGATTGTGATTGCTGAGAAGTAACAGGAGGGTAGGAAAGATGGCATGAGGGCATCATACACAGTAGGACTCCACCTTTTGCAGCCTCACAATTCCAACAGGGAGAGACTTTGCCAGGAAGAGAAAGCCCGGGGAACCATGTTCCAGAACAGCAGCAGCATACAGAATTTGTTCCTCAAAACTGGATTCAGAGTGCTCAGCAAGCCAAACACTAAACCCTTCCAGCCAAGAGCAAGGGAAGCCCACCTGGCAGCAGACTTTGGCATCATCCATGCGGTGCTGGTTTTAGGTACATGCAGAACCGAAGAGCTGGGGGTCAGAAAGGCTTCCACCCAGATTTCAGAAGGCCTGAGAGGCCAGGCAGTGTGACCCAGAGTGTGTGAAGCTTGTGAATATAAAGCCAAAGGTGCAGTTGGAGACCACAGAAATTTAGAGAAGCCAGGAATGTGAATTGTTTGAGGAAAACTGCAAGGAGGTAGCAGAGTGGGCCCGAGACAGAAGCCATGGAAGCTATGAGCACCGGTGGTGCCCCAAGGGCAGAGCCACCCAAGTCCTTTGGAGTTTGTATCTTGCCACAAATTGCCTCAGATGCTGCACAGAGGACTGAATGTTTGCCCTGATGAATTTTGGACTTGCTTTGGTTCCATTCCTTTGTATCCCCCTGTGTGTATCTTTTGGAATGGAAATCTTTATCTCGTGCCATTGAACGCTGGAAGTACTTAACTTTCTTTTCATTTATACAGGAGCTTGTGGCTAAGAGTTTGCCTTAGATCTTAGAGAAGACTTGGGACTTGGACTTTTCAGCAATACTGAAACCGTTAGGACTTTGGCAGCTTTTAGACATGGACTAGATGCTTTTTTCATAAAGGAATGTACATGCGTCTTTGAGGGGGCAGAATGTTATGGTTGTGCAGAACTGTCCTCCCAAAGCCATGTGGGTCATGCTTGTGGGGCGGTCTTTTTGGAGGCCGCTGAATCTAAATTTTGTGACTAACTCATGGTCCAAGGCTGAGATTTAGAGTGTGAGTGCTCTACTTGCCCTGGAACAGGCAGCCTGCAAACAATGTGAGGGACAGAAAGAGGCTTGGCCCTTCCCTCTCTTCACTGTTATTTTTGCTGAGTTCTGCTGCCATGAACTGCTGCCCCTTGGCCATGTGCCACCTTGCCTTGGAGCCAGCCAATTATGGACTGAAATGTCGACAAACTGTGAGCTAAATAAACCTTTCCCCCTTTAAAAATAACAACAAAAAAAAAAAAAAAAAAAAAAAAAAAACCCAAAAGTAAAGTGAATCACACAGAAAGAAACTGTAACAAGTGACTTGGGGGGGGAACAACAGGACGTAAAAACTACTGATAGGCAAACAGCAATTTTCAGCAAAGGGTGCAAAAAATGAAGTTGGCCCTTAACTTACACCCTCTATAAAAATTAAGACAGTCCCAATATCAAAATGTCAGATCTTTACTACAACACTCTTCCAAGAAACACAGAAAACTTTAATAACATTGGATTTGGCAATGATTTCTTGGATATAACACTGAAAGCACAGGCTTAAAAAAAAATTAGGGGGCTGGGGCTAGGGATTTAGTTCAGCGGCATAAGCGCCTGCCTTGCAACTCTCAGTTCGATCCTGGTACTGATAAATAAATAAATTAATTAATTTAATTAAATTTAAAAATTTTTAAAAAGCAACATAAGGGCTGAGGATTCAGCTCAGCGGCATAAGCGCCTGCCTTGTAAAGCAGGCAGTCGTGAGTTCAATCCCCGGTATCACTAAAAAGGAAAAAGGAAAAAAAAAAAAAAGCAACATAAATTGTACCTCCTCAAAATTAAAACTTTTTGTGCATGAAAAGATGTTATTGAGAGTGTCTGCTTGGGCAGTTTAGCAACTTACTGAAATCCTGTCTCAAAATCAATAATAGATTAAAAAAGGGCTGAGAATTCAGATCAGAGTGAGCAATGGAGGCTCAATCCCTAGTACCACACACACACACACACACACACACAAACACACACAAAAGTATGATGATTAATCTCAATCTACCTGCCAGCTGGATTGGCTTGAGATGCTGAGAGATCAGCTAAGCACAGCGGTGTGAACTTGGGAGCTTTATACCACACCTAACCCCTTCCCCTCCAACTCTCTGTTTCGTTTTGTTTTCTGCTTTTGGTACTCGGAATGAACTCATCACTTCATTCTTGCCAGGCAAGTGCTGCACCACTGAGCTGTATTGCCAGCCCCTTGTTCTCTTAAAAATCCTGTCTCCTCAGGAGGTACACAGCATGCTTTGCTATGGCATTCTGCTCATGACAGATCAGAAGCAATGGAGTTGGGTGGCCATGGGCCAAACCCTCTGAAACATAAGCAAAATAAACCTTTCCTACTTTCAGTTGATGTCAGGATTTTTGCTTCAGCAACAGAAAGCTGACCAATTCACACAATGAAAAGGCAACTCATAATATGAGACAATATGTATAAATCATATCTGATGAGGAATTAATATCCAGAATATGTAAAGAATTCCTGCAATTTAACAACACAAACAACAAAAACACCTGATTGACAAATAGGGAAAATACTCGGAAAAGATACTTCTCCAACAAAATGCAGTCGATAAGTGCATGAAAATAGATGCCCTACGTTACCAATCATTAAGAAAATGCAAGGTGAGAGCACAGCGAGAGCTGGGATTATGGTTCATCGCACAGGACTTGCCAACATGTATGGGGTGTGGGTTCATCCCCAGCCCTGTCTCCCAAAACACCTAACAGGGTCTTTGTCAAAGGAACCTATTATCGCTGGTTAATAATCTGAGTATCAACAATAATAATAACTGCCTTAGAAAATACATAAATTATGTTACGATCAGCCTGAGCTGATGGAAAAAACCATTTGTAATCCCAGCACTCTGGAAGGCTGAGTGAGTCAGGAAGATCACAAATTTGAACCCAGGCAACTCAGTGAGACCTTCTGTCAAAATAAAAAAGTTTTACAGCTGGGAAATAACTCATTGCATGGTATCTCCTTGGTAGGTATGAGGTCCTGCGTTCTGATTCCTGGTTCGGGGAAAAGAAACCAAAAAAAACAAGCCTATATCCTGCCTTTCCCATTCAAAATTTCTTGGGGATAAATTAAGAAAGAACAAGAGGCTGGAATATCATCACTGGGCAACTCCCGATGAATGAAATGATCTATGTAATGATCACCAATGGGACAGAACATAGTATTGTTTCCTTTCTTCAGGGCTCTGTGGCCAGCATTTTTTGCCATGTGACTTGGTAGTTCCAGTTCTCCAAAGCTCCAGCAACAATTCTATGTCTACCCCTGAAAAGGCACTGTGCGTTCTGCCTTCCTCTTTCATAATTCTACTGTTACCATGATGTCAAGAAGGGACAGAGACAGGGAGACAATCCCAGCTTAAGCACAGGTGTGAGAAGAGGAACAAGGTAGTTTGTTATCTCATATATACTTTTTTGATAGCAGGAATTGGACTCAGGACCAATAATTAGTCTTTTTCCTAAAACAAAAATCAAGTGAAAAAAGACCCATAAACCTAATTCCCCAGCTCTAACAATTTATAGAAAACTCAGAGAGTAGAACATATCCAATACTGCCACCAAAACACAATGAACACACACGAGAAGCTATAACATAGATGAGCTACTTCCATTAGTAGATATGTTACAAGGAGGGCAGGGATTGGAAGAAAAACGGAAAGATTAAGTGAGTCAAGGAACACATCAATAAATCATAGCATTCAGGCTTCAAATCCTGATTCAAATAGTATCATAGAGAAACTCAACCACGAACTACATATCTGATCATATTAAGAAATTCACTGTTGGGGCTGGGGATTTAGCTCAGCGGCATAAGTGCCTGCCATGCAAGCAGGCGGTCGTGAGTTCGATCCCTGTTACCGATAAAAAGGAAAAAGACAGAAAAAAAAAAAAAAAAAAAGAAAGAAAAGAAAAAAGAAAAAAAAATTTACTGTTAATATTTTTCACATGCGATAGTACTACACAAATTGTTTAAAATGAGAATCCTTATTTTTAATTAATTAGTGGTAGTAAGGATTAAGCCAGGGCCTTTAAATGAACGACATCCCCAGCCTCTATATTTTATTTTGTTTTGTTTGAGATACATAGATCAAATTGGCCTCAAACTTATGACTCTCCTGCCTCAGCCTCTCAACTGCTGGGATTAGAGGTGTGTACCACACCTGGCTCCCTATGTTTTACATTTTTATTCTGAACAAGGTCTCTCTAAATTTCTGGGCTTGAATTTATAATCCTTGTGCCTCAGCTTCCAGGAGGCTGAGATTACAGGCATGCACCACCATGCTTGGCTCAACAGTCCTTATTTACGAAACACACACTGAAATATTTATGGTTGAAATATGATGATGCCAAGATTTACTTCAAAATATTTTGAAAGGCTAGATACAGTGGCACACTGCTGTCAACTCTGGCCAGTCAGGAGGTGCAGCAAGAGAATGGCAAGTTCAAACCAGCTGGAGCAACCTGATGAGATCCTACCTGAAAGTTAACTTTAAAAGGGCTGGAGTGCAGCTCAGCACTTCCGGGTTTAGTACTAGTACCACAGACACTTAACCCCAGCAGAATGGTGGGACTGGGATGCAGCTCGGGGATGCGGTGCTTGCTTAGCATGCGGGAGACCCTGGGTTCCATCCCCAGTCTTACAAAAAGAAAACAGAGAAGCTCCTGAAAACTTATGTGGTGAAAGAGGGGACCACAGATTTAACAAAACTGTCCATGGCTGAGTGCAGAGATCAAAGGATCGCAGAGGTTCACTACACTATTCTCTGCATATGGCTGGAATTTCACATTGTAAGCAGCTAAAAAGGTGTAAAAGCAAAGATGGGCACCGGGAAGTCAAATCCTGTGATCAGAAAAACAGTCCCTGCGACAGCTCTCCACTTACCTGTCCTGTTCTTCCTTTTTTCTCGCTCTGCTTTCAGTTCCTCCATGGCTTGGGATTTCTTATCTAGTTTCTCATCCCGCTTGGAACGTCGTTCCTTATTGTGGGATGTTACCTGGGAAGGACAAGGGTGAGCAGAGCGGCCTTTTTACTACCAGCAGAGGACAAGACTTACATCCAACAATTATGCAATACTTTCAGTCCTCCAAGTGTGTAGGCTGCAGAATTGTCAACTGTGGAAGGGGACAAGGCGCCTCCTTGCGGACAAAGAGGGAACAGCAGTAAAATGAACCTGGTTTACCTGCCTAATAAACACCTTTGCTTTTTATTCCTATCTTTAAAATGCTGCTTTGTTTTGTTTTGTTGAGACAAGGTCTTGTAATTCAAGTTGGCCATGAATTCATTATGTAGCCTTGTCCAGGCTGGCCTCAAACTGGCAGTGATCCTCCTCCTCCTCCCTCAACCTCCTGAGTGCTGTGGTTTCAAGCATTCAACAAGTTTAAGAGCCGTTCCAATAAATTCTTTCTAGAAGAACACCCTACACTAGGATCTAATATTTGCTAGTATTTTATGATGAAAGCAGAGATAACTAATTTTCCTAGCTCTATTCATACCAAGTCTAGGATGATACACACTTGGGGAAATATCACAACCAATCTGGGAAACTGGGATGGGCGGGTCAAGAACGTTCCCTCCAGGTTCACTCACACTCCAGTGTTTCCAGGGAAAGGCACACCTGGTGGAGGTTGTCCAAAGGAGGGAAGCAGTGTAGCCACCAGGGTAATGGGAGTTCAGAGAGGGATGAACGCGGTGCTGGACACACACGGAGCAGTTCTGCACTAGCAGCCCAAGGCTGGGTATGCACACGCACACACTCAGAACAGAGTATACTCCTTGGTAGTAAGAACCACTAACTCCTACCTGAGATTCTTGAATCTGTGTCAGCTTTTTCTTTTCCTGCTCCTCTTCTTGCTTTTTCTTTTTTTCTTTCTTTTCTTTCTTTTTGGCTGTTTTTAGTTTTTTCTTGATTTCAAACCTGGTTAAAACATTTATTTGGTTTTTTCAAAGCAATAATATATATATATATATATATATATATAAAAGACTGATTTCTATTAAGTAGGAGACAGTATACATATATATGTACGTATGTATGTTGTGGACAGGAGTGAATAAACACTTTGACTTTTTGCAAGTAACACTGATGTATCACATTAAGTTCAGTAAAACCACTGAACAGAAGTACAGCAAAAGCACTTGAAAGCACCACAATGGACAGCTATCAGACAAGAGAAAATATGCAGGGTACAGCTGAGCACATGCTGAGACTTTTCATGACACTGATCCTGCAACCTTCACCTAACAGAAGAAAGTTGTTTATTCCTGGATCAAGTTAGGATATCCAGTGATATTCCACTCAAAAGACAAAGTCACAGTCTGAAGGTGCTCAGGGCAAGAAGTCTTTTCCTTTGGGAGTCAGGGACTGAAGCCAGGGCATGGAAATGCCAGGCAGGTACTGTAACACCTAGCGCCATCCCCAGCCCGGAATGTGTTTGGAAAACACTTTCTGTCTTTCTTCATCAGGAAAATGGTCCACCCTGCACACATGTGAACAGATATGCTATCCTCTTAAACATCTGCCCAAACAAAAACCAGGCTTTTACGAAACAAAAACAATTTTAAATGTAAGAAACTTTATAGAATAAAGTAATGTAATAAATTCTCATTATAGCTGAACATTATAAAATAATCTTGTCAATTTTAAAACTTAGCCCCCACCGGTCTTTTGTGGTACCAGGGATTGTACCCAGGGGCTCATGTATCTACTTCTTTTACTTCTTATTTTGAGACAGGGTCTTACTAACCCTCCTAGGTCGGACCTGAATTTGTGATCCTCTTGCCTGTGCCTCCTAGAGTGCTGGGGCTACAGGCATGTACCATCATTCCCAGCTTTTATTTATTTCTTAAATACTATACTACTCAATATTTTTTATTATGTTCTTTTCACTCATTGATGTACATTTACAATGGGAGCTGGGGAGAGCTATTATTCCTTAGAAAAGTTACTAAGGCCAGGTGTGGTGGTGCACACTTGTAATCCTAGCACTTGGGAGGCTGAGATTGGAGGCTCACCATGAGTTCAAGGTCACCCTGGGCTACATAGTGAGTTCACAGTCAGCCTGAACTACATGGTGAGAGCCTGTCTCAAAAAGCAAATGAACATGAAAGAAATTTTTACCCACTACACTGTGCTGCCCTGAAGGAATCTGTCTTAACTGTTATCAACCTAAACATTGTTCTAGTCACTAAATCTGCCACTGAATCAGTCAACTGATTTCACATCAAGTGGGAAATGTTTAAAAAAAATCATGCTGGGTGGGGTACAGCTCAGTGGTAGGGCACTTGGCAGCTGGCATGATGCTGAACTCAGTGCACAGCATGACCTAAACAAAACATGCACACAACCCCCCAAGTTTGAAAGAAGTCACTTATTACTCAAGCCACTCTATGATTGTCTTGGGACCCCACTGACCCCATGTGACAACCTTCTGTTATGCTCTCCAAGTCCAGGAGCGCACACTCCACAAGTCACCCCTAAGCACTTGGCAACTCAGGTGGAGATACTTTGGTCCTGTTTGTTCCAGCGCAGGTAACCTTGGGAGCATTCATGCTCCAAACAAATGTCTGCGGACTGGAAGCCAAACATTCTTGCCTAAGATAACTCACCCTTTTAGTGGGGTTTCCAGAAGGAACAAATAGGTTCCCAAAAGAGACCAGACTGACTGCTGCCAAAGAAAAGTGCTTTGTGCTGCTTTTCCTGACTCAGCAGATAGGGAAGGACCCTAAGTCTCCGTACTCCCTTTATTTCCCCAAGACAAAAAACAAACTTATATTCACCTTGAAATTTTGTTAGGAGCTAAGGAAAAGCTTCTGTCATGTAAAAATGGCAAAAATTCAGAAAACCAAAGCAGCTTCTGATGATCAGAAAAAGTTCTTAGAAAAATCATTCTTAGAAGAAGTAAGTATAATCAGAATGAGAAACCCTAGCTCTTAAATCTTACAGAAATAAGGTTCCAAAGCTAAATTCTGAAAGGTTATTTCTATGTATGACTCTAAAAAATTTGAAGCCAATTTGTAAAATACAAGGTTGTAAAACACCATTTATTTGGCTAGTTTTTATATAATAGTTGATAAGTTAACACATTACTTTCAATGATTACTAGATTTAAATTCTAAAATTAAGACAATCTCACCATTTTTTGCTCAGGAGAAATAAAAAATGTGGTTAATTTTATCAGGACAAAAGGAAAAAAAACTCACAAAACTTTGCTTTCCCTTAAAAACACTGAAGAACACTGCTTGTACAATAATACTTGGGTCATGAACACTTCTGTTTGCCAACAATTTGGTTTGCAAACAAAAACAGCAAAATTTTGTTTCTATTTGCAAACTTTGCGTCAGGTAACAAACACAACCACTCTCTTCCCCAAAATCATAAAACAAATTAAGTTTATAAACCAAGGTACCATTGTGCTTGTTAGGATAAATAAAATAACAGGAAGCAGGAAATCATGCTGTCATGTATTTTACAGAATCAGACGGTCCCAGTTTTGAGATCAAGTTCTGTTATTTACCAGCTCAATAACCCTGAGCTGAGGGAATGGTGACACATGCGTGTAATCCCAGGTCCCTGGGAGCCCGAGGCAGAAGAATCTCAGGCTCAAGCCCAGCCTTGGCATCTTAGCTAGACTCTGTTTCAAAACAATATAGAAGAAAAGGGCTAAGGATGTAGCTCAGTGCAAAAGTCCTGAATTTAATGTTCAATACTATAATCGAGACAAAACAAAAACTCACAATAAAATCCTTGGAGAAAAATTTACTTAATTTTTTTTTTAGACAAGGTCTTGCCTTACAATTCAGGCTGGCTTTGAACTCATGGCGTTTTCCTCCCTCAGCTTCCTGAGTGCTAGGATCACAGCCATGTGCCACCACACCTGGCTCTTTCTTTCAACAAATCTTCAGCGTGTGTCTATGTCAGTCACTGTTTTAGGAAGCAGGGATAGAGTGAACATGACAGACGTATATAAAATCTACTTCATGGAGCTTACTCTTCAGTTATTTCATATCTTTTAGCCAGTTTTCTGCCTCCTAACAAGGTATAATCAAGTTTATAGGGCTGTTGTAAAGATGAAATAACACTGTAAATCTCTTACCAGTGAAACCTTATGAAAAACACATTAGTGAGCCTGAGTAAACAATAAATTTGACCCTCAATACAAACACATTAACACTCTCATTTCCAAATGCCAACGTCTGTATATAGATGCTCCCCAGGGCATACACAGACATCCCTGCAACTTACGATGGGGCTGTACCTCACTGTCACCACTGGAAGTCAGAAATACAAGCTGAGAGTGCGTTTAATACAAGTACCCTATGAAACATGATTTGTAGTCTCACCTGGCTTCAATGTCCTCAGAAATGTGTTAGCACATAGGTAGTATACATGTAATTTACTGAATGAAAACAGTCTACACTTTTACAGTAGTTGGAAAAGCTTCATGTTGCTGGACCGGACCTATCAGGACAGGTCGGCTGTGAACACAAAGGCAGCACAAGAGCACGGGGGGGGGGGGTAACCCCACCATACCTTCTCTTCAATACCTCCCGCTTCTCTATGCGATTGAACAGCTCCTGTTCTCGCTCCTTCTCTGTCATCTGCTCCAGACGGGCCCTGTCCTCCTCGTCACCCATGAGGTCCTCACCGTAGCCATCGTGGAATTCTTCATCTTCTGAGGAGGAGTCGGAATCCGAGCTGGACGAGGAGCTGTTGCTGTCAGAATCTGACACTTCCCCTGCAACAGAGGCCCAGCACAGGTCACACAACACTCCGGGGACCCCTGTGCTAGCAGCACCACCTCTGCGCTGCTCCAGAGAGTGGCACAGGGCTACCTCAATTCCCCTGGCACCACACCAGCTGCTGGTATTTGGGTAAATGCAGACACCTGTCAGGGAAGTTCAGCCTGAGGTAAAAGATCAGATTGCTCCTTTCAACTTCATTTTTTATTTTGAAAAAAAAAAAAAAAAAAAAAAAAATAGACCTACAGAAAACAAGAATAGCATGGCTCTTCTGCATTCCCTTTTCTTCTTGCTCCATCTCCAGCCCTTCACACATTCTTTTTTTTGGTACCGGGGATTGAACTCACAACTTTGCGTTTTTCCAGCAGGCACTTATGCCGCTGAGCTAACCCCCAGCCCCTTTCATACATTCTTTACTCTGATCCATTCCTTTGAACACTATTGTACTTTCTCTTTTTGTCTGCACACACAGAATACTTGCATGTATTTTTTATTACTTTCTGCTCTCACAGTTTAATTTGAAATGTCTCCTCCCCAATCTCATATTCAGAGGTGGGGCTCTGGGCAGCTACCTGGATCACGGCGTGCTGTAGCTGCCTTTCTGTTAGGAGGAGGTGCTGAGGTGGGGGCGAGGCCCGGGAAAGTGTGTTCTCACCCCTGGCTCCTCTCCTCCCTGCTCTCCCTTTTCCCACCCACCATGACATGAGCAGCTTTCTCCCATGCAGGCTTTCTACCATGTCATTTCTGTATTCAAGTTTGTCAACCACAGGCTTCAACTTCTGCAACTGTGAGCCAAAGTAACCCTCTCCTCCTTTAAACTGCAGGTGCTGACGACTGTGTCTCAGTGATGATGAAGTGACTAAGTCACTTACGTTGCCAAACCGAACACGTCTTCCCATTTCCCAGGATCTATTGTACATTTTGGTTCTTATTTACACTTTCAGTTTCTCACACCAGAGAAATAATGCAGTATTTAAATGTGTATCCAATTTATTTCACTTAAAGAGTATGGTCTCTAGGTGTACCCATTTAGCTATAAATATAAATGTCTCAGGCTTATCCTCCTTTATGTATGTTGCCAAACTGAAAGTTGCAGAGATCACAACCTTTTATTTGTAAATGTTTCACCTAAAAAGGAGAGGCTCTCATGTAACTAACTATACAATAACCAAATTAGGAAACTCAGTGCCAATACAATTCCATTATCTAACAGACAGCCTATACTCAAATTTCACAAAGTATTCTAATATCAACCTTAATAGTCACTTTTGTTAAATAGTCCAGGCTTGGGGCTGGGGATTTAGCTCAGCGGCTTAAGCATCTGCCTTGCAAGCAGGCGGTGGTCGTGAGTTCAATCCCCGGTACTGATTTAAAAAAAAAAAAAAAAAAAAAAGTGTAAAAAAAATAAATAGTCCAGGCTGGCCTTGAACTTGCAATGGTCTAGCCTCAAGTTCCAGAGTAGCTTGGATTACAAGTGTGTGCCACTACACTGAGCCAGTCTGTCTGCCTGCCTGCTTCCCCTTCTAGTGGTGCTTTCTTCAGGAATGGGGATCAAGTCCAGGGCCTTCAGACTGAGCTACATCCTTACATCTATCTATCTATCTATCTATCTATCTATCTATCATCCAGGGTCTTGGTACGTAGTTATGTGTTTGGGCTGGCCTTGTTCCTGCCTCAGCCTCCCAAGTGTGGGACTACAGGTGTGTATCACCATGCCTGGGATATTTTAAATTTTGAGACAGGGTCTCACTAAACCACTACGGTGCCCAGGCTGCGAATGAACTTGTGATCTCCCTGCCTCAGACTCCCAGAGTGCTGTAATTACAGGTATGCGCCACATCCGCCTCTAACTGGTTTCCTTTATAAGACAAAGTCTCAGGCTACGTCACTCTCACTGGCCTCAAACTTTAGGGTTCAAGTAATCTTCCCACTTCAGCTACCAGGGTAGCTGGAGTACACCACTGTCCCTTCATGAGCAACCTTTGTCTCACATGCTATTGAATTTCTGAAGAACATGAGTCTGTAAAATTGTCTAACAGAATTCTGGGAGATGGCAGTAAAAACACTCTCTATCTGAATAGTGACCACCATGTTTCTAATGCATAACTGAAGTGTGGCTTGTGCAACCGAGCAAATGAATTTTAAACATTAATTTTTAGCTAATTTAAGTTTAATAACAAGTTATCAAAGGTTCTATAATTTGGCTTTGCTGATCTGTCAAGAAATAATTTAGGTTATAAATTTTTGATAAAAACACTCCAAAAGTAATTGTGTCCTTTTCTATATATTATACAGGAAGTACCTAACGTTTTCCTGATTGTTTTCTTTTTTTGGCATTGGGAATCAAACTCAGTACCCCACACTTGCCAGGCAGGTGGTGCACCACTGAATTAAATCGCTGACCCCTTCCTGATGGGTTTGTCCCATTATTGGTGACATTAGCGTGGGTCGCTTCATTAAAAGTGGTATTTGCCAGATCTTCGCTTTGTGCAGGCACTTTTCCCCCCTTGTACATCAGTATGCATGGGGAGATACTTGTAGACTTATGAACACCTCGATCCCCACAACTACACCAAATGGTTTCACAACCACCAACTCTTAGGTATATCAACTATCACCACGATGGCTGAAGAAAGCTCATTTTTCTAACCCTATAATTTCTTCTATATTTATGCATTAGTATTTGATTTTTTTTTTTTTTTTTTTTTTGGTCTTTTTCGTTTTTATCAGTACCAGGGATCGAACTCACAACTGCCTGCTTGCAAGGCAGGCACTTATGCCGCTGAGCTAAATCCTTAGCCCTATGCATTAGTATTAAAAAAAATACAAAAAAAGTTTTAATGAGTACAAAACTAATTAAGTGATTTCTCAATGGCTCTGGGTCTTGAAAGACAAAGAGTGGCATGTAAAACAACAACATATATTATTAATCAGTATTAAATGAATTCAGCATTTTTTTTTTTCTTTTTTGGAACTGGGGATTGAACTCAGGACCTCACACTTCCCAGCAGGCGCCATTCCACTGAGCCATAGCCCCAGCCTAATTCAGCAGTTTAATAAGAATTTGTGCTTGACTCGATTTGAGCTAATATTTCTAAGCATGGGCTTAAAACCAGCTCAATTTTTTACCAGTCAAGTTTATTGTAAGCCTTACTTTTCAAGAAAATTTAGCTTATCAATGTAGTTCGAAGAGCAGTTCAGTTGTTAAAAAAGTGTTAACAAAAAACTCTGGAATTTGTTAATAGATCGTTTTCTCGTAAGTTTTGTATCTGACTCAAGGACTTCCCTCCATAGTCAAACCATGTAACGCAGCACAGGGAAGGGGACAGAAGCCCACAGGTAAAGCGAATGGGGACAAATGCAGGGACTCCTCACAGTTCCACTGGTGAGCTGCAGAGGTCTCACCAATCCTTCTGAACTGCATGCATTTTTTTGCTTTTATTCAGTGTCAAAGGATTCAGGAGCACTGGAAAAGCTCAGGATCTCTGCTCTCTGCTCCCCTTCAGTCCCCACTCTGCCTCTGCCTCTCCAGTCTGGTGGGTGTGGGTTCCCTCTCCAGGCTGGGCACTCTGCTCACCTTCCTCAGGGGCTGAGCTCTCAGCTGAACTGTCTTTGTCTGAACTGCCTGAGGAGGCAGTTTTGTTGGCTTGCTTCTTCATGGCTGCTTTCTTCTCTATTTTTCTGGCTTTTCCTTTCTTCTTGTTTTTATTGCTCCCAAATGTCCACTACAAGGGGAAAAAAAAAAGGAAAACTGTAATAGAAATCGGAACTTTATTGGGGGGGGGCTGAAAGATTCAGGAAGTCTCTTTCTCTAGCCAGGTGTGGTGGTGCATGCCTATAATCCCAGCACTTGGGGGTTGAGGCAGGAGAATAGCTGCAAGTTCGAGGCCAGCCTGGCTACATAGTGGGTTCAAGGACAACCTGAACCACATAGCAAGCCCCTTTTTCAAAACAAAACAATCAAGTAGTAACCATCTTTTTTGACTTTTTTGGTCTGAACCTACTGAAACTGTGAGCCAAAACAAACCTCTCTTCCTTTAAATTGCACGTCAGGTAATTTGTCCCAGCAACTAATATACTGAGTTAAAGCTATAATTTCTGATTTGGAATTCCTTAGTAAGATAAAATGTATATAACAGACACAAAATTAATGTACTTTTTAGTGCAAAAGAAAAAAGTATTAACTTTATAGCAAGTTAACTAAAAAGGAGAGCAACAGTTTTTCATGTTTTCTGTGGCAGAAATGACAATAACCACTAAGTGATTATTCAGATTTATTCAGATTCAGATTATTCAGATTTTCAGATTCAGATTATTCAGATTATTCAGATTTTAGTGAAGACGGTGGTTTAGTGCTGGGTGGGTCTCAGGAAGGCAGTCAATAGAGACAGTCTTCTGAGAAATCTGCAGAAGGGACAGCGGAAAGGATGAGGGCCATTTTTTGGCATGGAGGTAGCAATGGCAGCAACCCCAAGGAGGCAGAAAGTAAAGGAGATCCTTAAGTATATCTTGTATATCTTATTTAAAAATCTGGATACATTATAACAACTTTAAACTGAATTATAACTAGAAACCTAAAGGGAGGGACTCAGCAATTTGTAATAACATAGTAACAGGCTGTAGGCACATACAGTTAACCACTCCAGGCCAGAGACAATCAACTTCACCAAGCTCTTTAATCATACTGCTGAATGACTGCTTAACTGTCTATAAGAGTTCACAAAGACCATTTAGTTTATTAGGCCCTATCTCTTTTGATATTTTAACTTACTGATTATTCTGTCTTTTTTTATTGTGCCATAAATTGAACTCACAACTTCATGCCTCCTAGGCAGATACTGCACTGCTGAACTACATCCCCAGCTTCACTTGCTGATTTAGAATGAATTTAGGCAAAAAAATGTTTTACTTGAGAACTTTATGCTATATACTATAGCATATAAAGAATACTCTTCATCTTTCCACCAACACAGAACAAATACTAAATTTCTTTTTTAAAAATTTCTTAATATAAAATGTCAATATTCAATATTTAAGAAAAGCACAAAGCCTTTGCTTTGCTGATACTATAACAGGATGATAATTAACCTACTACCTCACAACAGTTAAGGTCAGAAGTAACCTATATGGGGTCCTTTGAGGAGAAGCAGAAAAGAAGAGGAATCAGAACTTTTTTTTTTTAAAGACAGAGTCTCACTCTGTATTTCTGCCCAGCTTTGAACTCACTGCATAGCCCAGGATGGCCTCAAACTTGTGGCAATCCTTCTATCTCAGCCTCCAGAGTGCTGGGACTACAGGCATGCACCACCACCCAGCTATTGTTTTTGAACCCAGGGCCTCATGCATGTTAGGCAATGCTCTACCACTGAGCTACATCCTTGATTCTTTAAAAAAAAAAAATTTTTTTTTTTTGAGCCAAGTTCTAAATAAGCTGTCCAGGCTGGCCTTACATTTGTAATACCCCTACTATAGCCTCCTGAGTAGCTGGGATTTTAGATGGCACCAATATACCTAACAGGAGTATTTTATTTCTCCAAATTCCCTTTGCCCCATCTCAGGATTAAATCCAGGGCCTTTGCACTGAGCTACACATTTACTTGCTTACTTATCTGATAGGGCCTCACTAAGTTGCCTAGGGTGGGATTGAACTCAAGATCCCTTTTGCAAACAGAATGTCCTTGCCACGTCTGTGTCTACCTACACGAGTGTGAAGGGGTTAAGAGTGAAAGGCTGCACTCTCAGGGTCATGTGTGTCAGAGCAGCTAGGTCTATTTTTTCCTAAAGATTTGGGTTTCTGGTGTGCAATAAGCCAAACTATGAACTCCCTAGGGAAAGAAAAGTGTTCATGAGTATAAAACGACCTGAATGTGAAATCACACAAGGAATCCAACTCAGGAGGTGCTAAAAAGCTATCTGCTTTCCTCAGCTTCCATCCTGTCTGCTTCAGTCTGCCACAAGAGCTTATTTCAGAATAAGAAATTACTTATCAAGAGCATTTATAGTCTATGAAGTTTATCCCTTGCAGGGGAGAGAGAAAAAGGAAAAATCAAAGAAAATGTTTGACTTAAAAGGGGCTTTCCTACTTGGGCATAGTTGGCAATCCTGTACTCAGGAGGCTAAGGCAAGAGGATCACTACAAGTTCAAGGCTAGCAAGGATTACATAGTAAGTCTGGGCCAGCTTGAACTACATGGCAAGATCCTCTCTATAAATAAACAAACAGGGCTTTCCCGGTCAAACCTGAACGAGAGAAGGGTTTTTGGCTTTTACTTCCATCAATTTTAAAAAGAAATAAGATGATAAAGTTGTCTCATCTGTCCAGAGGCTGATTCAGCAGGATCTGTCAAGCTGAAGATAATCAACAGCTCCACATTTTAGGAGGCTGTGTGGGGGGTGGCGTTGCATGGGGCATGGTATAGGGGATTCAAGCCAGGGCCTCTGTACCATGTCGTTTTAAAATTTCTTATTCTGAAATTTGCCCAATCTTGACTAGAACTTGCAATTCTCCTGCCACAGCTTTCCAGAGTACTGAGACTATATGCAGCTTCCACCATACCCAGCTTTTTGTTTTGTTGTTGTTTTGAGATGGGATCTTGTTGTGTAGTTCAGGCTTGTCTTGGACTCACTATGTAGCCCACGCTGGTCTCCAACTTGCGGTAATACCTTTGCCTCATCCCCCTGACTACTGGAATTACAGGCATGTACCACCACATCCAGCTTACTCAACTTATTTTTGGAGAGTTACAATAACACTAGTGATTTTATATTAAAATCACAATTTTTTCCAGGTGTGGCAATGCACACCTGTTATTCCAGTTATTCGGGAACTTGAAGCCAGCTGATTGCAAGATTAAGGCTAGCTAGGCAACTTAGCAAGACCCTCTCAAAAGTAAATTAAAAGAGCAGAGGGAGCTGGGGATGTAGCTCAGAGCCCCCTTACCAGTACCACAAAAAATAAAATCAATTTCTGCCACATAGTGGTATACGCCAGTAATCCCAGCACTCAGGAGGCTGAGATAAAAGGATCATAAGTGGGCTGGGGATTTAGCTCAGTGGCATAAGTGCCTGCCTTGCAAGTGTGTTGTTGTGAGTTTGATCCCTGGTACCGATAAAAAAAAAAAAAAAAAAAAAAAGGATCATAAGTTCAAGGTCAGTCTGGGCTACCGAGCAAGACAATGTCTCAAGAGAAAACAAAAATTCACCCAGTTACTTAAAATTTGAGGTCAGTCTCATTATCATTCCTACTTAATTCTGAGAAACAAATTCACTTGGCTCCCAAAAATCTTTTAAAAATCTTTTTCCTGAGCACAGTTCCCAGTCCCTTGGCCTAGGTACATGCTTTAGATATTTGTTCAATATCTGTTCTCCCAAGAACAGAGCTAACGCACTATAAAAGAGATGGTCAAGACCTATGGCCAGTCGAACTGATACAGGACTGTCCTAGCCCAGTTGTTGGTCCAGGAGTGGCTAATAGCTTGCTCACCTTCCCCATGCAAGCACCATTCTTTTGACGCTGAGTCAGAGGGAAAATGAGCTCTTTCAGTGCCAGACTGTGGTAGTTCAGTGGAGTCTCAAGAATAAAGGACAGGACCATCGAGAAGTTGGGAGGGAGCAGGAGACAACCTGCATTCTAAACTTGTGTAGGGAACTACAGCTATGCAGAAAGGCAAGCTCCGCACCCAAGAGCACGAAGGCCAAGACAAGTGCCCGCTGGTCTCTACTCGCACTGATGCTGCTCACAAGCCACCCGGAAAGGGAAAGTGCAAGGATACAGCTCACCAGGACTCATCCACACTGATATCCTGTTTCCCTACTGTAACTACACATGCCCAGCACTACGACTATGCAGTGAACAAAACTGAAGTCTGAAGATGTTTTCTTAGCTACTAAACTAAAACAGACGACAGAATGACCCTCGTTGGTGTCACAGATGCTCCAAGGAATGGCCACTGTTGAACAATACAGGAAGGCACCTACTGTCCAACCCCACACCACTCTGTGTGAGAGTGGTGAGGGCCACTGCACAGTCTCCACTCTGGGAAGAGGCTGTCCTTGCTGGCACTCAGATAAAGACAGGGTGGAAGTGGTGCTTTGGACTTGCATGGCACAGGGATACTGAGTAGTGTGAGGCTCCTGGAGGCAGAAAACAGACACTACCGACATGTCTCTAATTGGCAAAGAATACCCATATTCCTATGTTGTGAGGCAGTCCACCCCGCTATTGTGATTGAATTTATATGTAAAATGGAATACTGTAAATTAAATAGGGTTCAAGAAAAATAGCTGAGACAGGTATGGTGGTACAGGCCTGTAATCCCAGCACTTGGGAGGCTGAAGCAGGAGAGCTGTTGTTTGAAATCAGCCTGACCTACAAAATAAGCTGAAGGCCAGTCTGAACTGCACAGCAAGATCTTGTTTGAAAAAAGAAGGAGGAAAATGAGGAGGAGGAGAAGGAAGAGGAAAGGAAGAGCCGGCTCTCCACTCTTTCTCTCGTTGCTTTTGTTGCCCTTCTGCCATGTGCCACCCTGCCTTGGAGCCAGCCGATTATGAACTGAAAGCTCTACAAAATAAATCTTTCCTCCATTTAAAAAAAAAAAAAAGGGAGAAGTTGGGCAAGGCATGGTACAGGCCTGTAACCTTAACACGCTGAAAGCTGAGGCAGGCGGATTTGAAATTTGAGCTCAGCCTGGACAATTTAGCAACTCAGCAAGATGCTGTCTCAAAAT